CTCTATGGTTTAGCAAATTTCAAGAATATAATAAAGGATCATTATTTATAACCATCACCATATATACTACACAACAGACCCTCAGAACTTGTTCACTTATAACTGAAAGTTTGTAGGCTTTGACAAACATCTCCCTTTTCCTTCACTTGCCCACCCTTGGTAAACACCTTTCTCCCCCAGTTTCTGTGTGTTTGACTTTCTTTTGAAAGATTCCACATAGACAAGACACCATCCAGTATTTGTCCTCTCTGTCGGGCTAATTACATTTATCATCACACTATCCAATTTCATTCATGTTGTTCCAAATGGCAGGATTTCCTTTTTTTTTTCAAGAAATATTTTTATTAAATTGGAATAGACGGTCTTTACTTCAACCTGATAAAAGCCATCTATGAAAAACTAACAGCCAATATCATATTAAATGGTCAAAAACTGAAATCCTTCATACTAAAATCAGGAACAAAACAAGGATGTCCACTATCACCACTCCTGTTCAATATTGTTTTGGAAACATTAGCCACACCTGTTAGACAAGAAAAAGAAATACAAGGAATAAAGATAGGAAATGAAGAAGTAAATTGTCATTATTTGCAGACTACATGATACTCTACATAGGAGGCCCTAAGAACTCCACCAAAAGTCTTCTAGAGTTAATAATCAAATTCAGTAAAGTATCTGGATAAAAGGTCAACACACAAAAATCAATAGCTTTCCTGTACATGAACAACAACTCATGAGAGAGGAACTGGAGAAACAATTCCTTTCACAATAGCATCCAAAAAAATGAAATAACTTGGAATCAACCTAACAGAAAGAAATCAAAGACCTCTTCTCTGAAAACTATAGCATTCTGAAAAGAGATATTGAAGACGATATCAGAAAATGGAAAGACATCCCTTGCTCCTGAGTAGGAAGAACCAATATAGTGAAAATGGCCATACTTCCAAAATTGTTATATAGGTTCAGTGCAATCTCAATTGAAATTCCAGCAGCATACTTTGCAGAGCTTGAGAAAACATTCCAAAACTTAATTTGGAACAAGAAGAGACCTAGAATAGCAAAAGCAATTCTAGGCAACAAAGACAAGGTAGGGGGTATCACAATCCCCAACTTGAAACTATACTACAAAGCTACTGTGATAAACACAGCATGGTACTGGCAAAGAAACAGAACCGAGGATCAGTGCAACAGATTAGAAGATGCAGAACCAACTGCAGACATACTCAGCCATCTCATCTTCAATAAAAGAGCCAAACACCCTCACTGGAGGAAAGATACCCTCTTTAATAAATGGTGCTGGAAAAATTGGGTTCCAACTTGCCAAAGATTAAAACTAGACCTGTATCTTTCACCAGGTACTAACTAAAATCAAAATGGATCAGAGATCTAAATATTAAAATAGAAACGCTAAACTGGCTGGAAGAGAGGTTAGGTAGAACTCTTGAAGACATTGGCGTAGGAAAAGATTTCATGAACAAAAACCTCAGTTGCATATGAACTAGGACAAAGAATCAACAACTAGGATCTCATCTTATTAAAAAGCTTCTGCACAGCAAGAGAAACCACCAACAGAGTGAAGAGACAACCCATAATGTGGGAAAAATTTTTTACCAGCAGTTCCTCAAAGGTCTACTATCTAGAATATATAAAGAACTTTAAAAAGTCAGACTCCTCAAATTTAAAGACCCAATCCAAAAAGGGGCATCTGAAATGAACAGACATTTCTCAGACAAAGAAGTAGAAACAGCAAATAAACATAAGAAAAAATATTTAACATCACTGGTCATTTGAAAGATGCAAATGAAAACAATGCTGAGATTCCACCTCACTCCAGAAAGAATGGCTGCTATCAAGCAATCAACCAATAACAAATGCTGGAGGGATTGTGGAGAAAAAGGAACCCTGCTCCACTGCTGGTGGGAGTGTAGACTGGTGTGCCCACTGTGGAAATCAGTATGGAGATACCTCAAAAAACTAGGATTAGAGGTCCCATTTGACCCAGCTCTTCCCCTGCTGGGTATTTTCCCAAAAGAATTAAAAGAATTATACCACAGTGATATATGTGTACCCATGTTTATAGCAGTGCAGTTTGTAATAGCTAAAACTTGGAAACAGCCCAATTGCCCATCAACTGGAGATGGGATAAATATTTTTATTTTATAAAGTAGAGTACTACTCAGCCATTAAGAATGAGAAATTAGAGACATTTATAGCTACATGGATGCACATTGAGGCCATACTCTTAAATGAAATAGATAGGACACGCATGTGTAAATACTGAATAATTTCTCTGGTGTGAGAAACTGAAAGTGTAAATAAGGATCAAAATGTAGAATAGGTAATGGGAAATAGGAAGAAAAGGTCCAAAGGGTAAGGGAAGTTGGAGGGGTAGGGGAAAGGAAAGAAGAGAAACAAACATGAGAAAAGCAAAAAGTGGAAACAAAATCTTTGGAGGGGTTGAAGGGAGGGGAGGGGAATGGGGAAAAAAACAAGAACCAAGAGAGATTATGTAAAGGTGCAAATTCCCAATGATGAATGTCATCATTTTGTACACCTAAAATGAGTAAAAATCTATAATAATGGAATCAGTTTGATCACGGTAAAGTAAAAATATTGAAAAAATACATCATGAGACTGTAACCAGAGAATAAGTAGCAGAGAATAAGTAGTTTAGAAACAGATATTATTATAAAATACTTAAATGTGTATGATAAAGTTGCTATTATACATCAAGGGAAGAATAGACAAATTTCTCAGTAACAGGAGTAATGAATAAAATAGTAAATTAAATTCTCACCACATTGTATATGCCAAAATAAATTCCAGGATCAAGTTTTTAAAAATACCCTTGACAAATAAAAATGGAGGTTAATGTTTACTAACTAAAGCTTTGGAGTACATTGCAATAGGAACAAAAAACCTGTGGAAATTAACTTTCCTCAAAAGTGTCTTGAAGGCACAAACGCTGGCGCTCCAATGTGTAAGTGCCTGCTGTACAGGTCACACTTGAGTGTGAGTCAGCTGTGATAAATCTTTGTAGAATACATGGGAACCATCTGTTACTTTTTTAAAGACAGCATCACTATCATTCTTTCCAAGTGATAAATTGGAAAAATATTATATATATGAAGCAGGATTAATGGACTTGTCTTATTAAAAACAATCAAATGATAAGAAACATCATTAGGCACAATTAGATGGACAAATATGTGAACAAACAGGACCCAATCGGGATACAAAGATTGAATATTTTTATATGATTCTTTTTTTTTTTTTTTGGTACCGGGGATCAAACTCGAGAACTTGCACTTGCGAGGCAGACAGCAGAACCACTGAGCTAAATCCCCAGTCCCAAGATTGAATATTTTTAATGGATTATTAATCATAAAGAATTGTTTATCTGTGAAGTTATAAATTTTTTTAAACGAAAATATCCAATGCTGGTTTGGGGAGTGTAATATGTCATCTCGCACAGCTGGGAGAAGTTAATGCACTGTTCTTGAATTTAGTTGAGTTTAGTTGAATATTTTATAAAAATGATTTTGCATTCTATATCCATAAATACTACTTTGGACTCTTCTGAGACTGTATCTTAAAGAAATTACCTGCTAGAAAGAATTAAAATTCTTTAACTTCAAAGTTTATCATAACAAAAAGTTCATCATAGGTAACAAATACTAGAGAAAAGCTGGAGCCCTATTTCCAACAATAGAAAATGGATTTTAAATTGTGGGATGGCCACACGGTGGAATAACATGCAGCCATTTAAATTATTTCTATAAGATTTTAAAACACCATTGGAAAAGAATTATTTTAAGAGATACTGGGAGGAGACAAATTATGCCAATAAAAATGCAAAGAAAAATGACAACATCCTCATTCATGCTTACTGAAGGGGCAAGGACTCTTTCTCCTATCTTCGTATCAGTCCCTTGAGGCAAGTACCTCTACTGGTCCCACTGAACAAAATAGGAAACTGATACACCGGATTGTCCAGTCTCTGAGGATCTGACATCCGGTTGGCGGGCTCCCTCATCCATGTGCTTTTTAATCAATATATTATATTTCCTGTGGTTGTTAAAATATAAAAAAATGATTTCAGTAGTTTCATGGGCTTGGGGTGGGGGTGGCTCATTGGTTTCCCTTATTTTCCCTATCTCCTCCAAGTTTCCCTAATAAGCATACTGTACTTTCTTACTATTCTAAATGACCTCAACAGTGGTGGTATGTTTAAAAAAAAAACAACCCTCGACTTCCCCTGGGTGGTCACACTCAGAGCCTGTGTTTTAGGATTGTCTGCATCTCTGATTTCTAGCTCCCTCTCTGGAACTATGTGTGTAGGCTCTGGTCCTCCTTCTGATTAGCTCAGGGCCCTCCTGGGATTTCACCCTTGTTGCTGGGACCCCTGGATGGACCAGAGGCCTCACACTGAGCTACCTTCCCAGATCTTTTTTGAAATATGGTCTTGCTAAGTGGCTAAATTACCCAGGCTGGCCTGGAACTTGGCAGTCCTCCTGCCTCAGCCTCCCAGAGGGCTGCGATCACAGGCAGAATCCCGGTTCTTGACTCCTGCTCTTCCTGCTGCTGAGTTGCAGCAAACCGCCTGGGGCACAGTTGCTGGGCCTTCCCAGACCCCAGCTCGGCCTTCGGGACGCTCCCAGCGCCTCCGTCCCTTAGCGGCTCAGGCTCTGGTTCCCGACTCTGGCCAAGGCCGGCACTGGCCCGGAACGCGGGGGCTTACAGGGCTGGGGTCGACCTCTGCCCACGAAGTCCGGGTGTCGGGTTCGAGTCCCGGCCAGTGCCCCTTGGGGCTCGCGCGGAGCGTCCGAGGCAGCAGCCCGCCCAGCTGCCCAGCTCGCATCAGACCGCGACAGTAGCTGAAAAGAGCGTTAGTCCGAGCCGACTCAGAAGCAGCGAGCAGGAGTCGGGCTCAAGCGCCCCCGCCCGCGTCCTGGGGGGTTGTGACCGCCTAGTGAGCGTCTCTGGAACAGGTTAGCTCCAGAGCTAATCAGGTTCTGGGGCGGGAGCAGGAGAGAAGGGGAGCAGTCTTTGCAGTCCGGGGACACCAAGCTCATTTTCGGGGAGTTTGAGGCGCCCGGGCTGGAGGAGCAACCTAGTTTTCCAGGTCGCTGGGGGCCACACTCACGCACACAGCCAGGCCGCGGGGTTCCTGCCCCAGAAAGGGCCCTTCTCATCCCAGGTCCGCGGAGGGGGAAAGGGTGGGACCCCCAAATCCGCCTTCTTACGTGGCCAATAAAAGGGTGATTGCAGAGCTGGCGGGGGGGGGGCACCTTGCGTGCCTTGACATTTGAAAATCGCAGTCCAGGGAGGCATCGAACGTGTGTTGCATTCTCGCAGCGTCTAACGCACTTGGGGATTTGTACGATCTGGGAGGCCTGCGCCCCAAATTGGGCGCCCCCCCCCCCCGGGTGGGGAGGGTCTCGGGTCACAGCACGGGGCTTCTGCCCAGTTTCCTGCCTCGGAGTCCGTGTCCGCCCCGGCCCCGAGCAGTTTGTGCAATTTAGAAACTCGATAGGAGGCAGCAGCTGATCTCCTACCAGCCTAAAAATAATTCACTCCGGCGGCGCACACTGCGTGCTTCGACCAGGGGAAGAAAACTCTGTCATCCGAGTGAGTCCTTGACTTTTGCTTAACTATCATTCAAAAAATTTAAGAGTAAGGGCAAACTGTTGTTTTTGATCTAATATTTCGGCAACGTTAGGGCGCCCGCGCGCTCCGGATTCTCTCCTTTTAGGATGAAGCCACGGGGCCCGGCTAGGGCAGAGAGGGGGTTGGGGATCAGGTTTCCAGTTTTGCTTCCAGAACTCTGCCGGCTCTCACTGAAACTAACGGGAAACGGGGAAAGGTGCTAGTAATTTTCTTTTTCCTCTTAGACATTTCCTGTATAATTCACGAAATAGCTTTCCATCCTCTTACTGTTTGTTACTCCTTGCTTTTTAGGAGCTATGTGTCCTGGTTTGAGATTTACATCCTAAGACAGTGTAGAAATTCGTGTTTCGAAGGTAGCACAACTAACTGTACCCGTAGGGGTTTGAAGCATCGTGGAGCCCAAGGTATTTATTTGTTGATGTTTGCTTTATTTGTTCGGTTTTCATTGCAGTGTCTAAGAAATCTTTTCTGCTGAGTAGTTCTAGCATTTCCTTTGATATGCAAGAGAACTGCTCAGCCTTTGGAAGATCAATGGGTAGATCCAGAACAGGCAGTAAATCAAGACAGCCGTCATTTTTGCTAGTAAATTCGATCTTTATTTGTCTACCCAGCTAGCCAGATAGATAGCTAGACAGCTAGAGAGCTAGGTAGATAGACATCTAGTCCTTGTTTTAGGAAACATCCAATGAATAACTTCAAAGAATTTACTGTAGCATTTATTTTTGCAAGTGATCTTCACCTTGAAAATTCTCTACATTGTTTAATGTCATGTTTCTCTAATAATTCAGTTACTCTCCAAGTAACTAGAGAATGAATTGTTTGACATGTGAGAACCCATGCTTTCCTCTGGTGTATAACATGCCTTTTTTCCAGGTGTTTCTAGCATTTGAAGTTGTCTGGAATTGAAACTCTGTCACAACTGACATTTTGTTTTAGGTGGAGAGGAAAGAATGCTAGCTTTTATTTAGAATCTGTTTTCAAAGGATGGATCTGGCAAAAATAAATGGTGTAGTCAATATGGTTTAATGCTTTAACATTTTTTAGAATTAAATCAGACAACGGTTCTCTTAGAACTAAAAGAGCTGATGGGTCAGTTACTATATTCATCAACTAAATGCAAACTTTTCAGTCCTAGGGGCTGTGGAATGTTATATAATTCATTTCAAGGAATAAGAATACCAATGTTACAATTCTTACCTTTGAATCCTAAGTTGATTCATCAAGATATATTTTTATTTTTACATTTTCTGTCCTACAGACCATTCCCATCATCAAAGTTTCACTTTTGATATTTCTCTTTAAAATTTATCCAATTTCTCCAACCCTGTCCACTGTCATACACACTTGATCGCCTTTCAGAGGGTTTGTGCTTATGGGGAAGAAATGCTTTTCTCCATCTGACACCTCTTCCTTCTCCCTCCGTAATGCGTGGGCCTCTGTCCGCCTTAGGCAGTTCCCCAGGGGTCTGTCCTGGAGAATGTCAGCTGACCGAGCTCCTCCCGCTGGAGCAGTGGCTTCTGTCTCCCCTAAGCATCCCTAAGCTTACCTGGGCTCCGAAGGGTAAACCTGGACGCAGCTGGAAATCTAAGAATCAGACAGCTTAATTGAATAAAATGTCTTTGATAAACATGGTAATTATCAATATTATCTGTAATAAGTTTACTCTTTCCTTTTGTCCACATTGGCTCCCTATGTGTGTTGACTGTTAGAATGTGCCACACACACAGGGGGTTGTGGATAAAGGGGTCAAGGGTCAAGGGGAGAGAGGGGGTGGCCAAAAAATGTCAAAAAAAAAAGGCCTGTGGTAAGAGGTAGAGGACAGGCTGGGAGCAGGGTGGGGAGATTGGGAGTTACAGATTATGGCAAAAGGAAGAAACTATTCTAAATCAAGAGTGGACTAAAGTTTCTGTTCATCATTTCTAGTAAATGAACTTGTGTTAAAATTTCGTTACTAGAGGTTACTTTTTAGTTTCTGATTTCTTTCACCTTTACCAGAAAAACCTAGATCTAACATGCACATATGAATCAATAGCTTACATTTTAGTGATACTTAAAAATCTCAAGTGCCTTTAATTTTTTTATCCCACTTACAAGTTAATAACTGGCAATGATTTACCGACTATATAACTGCATCTTGAGTTTTTAAAAAATAGAACTTTTTAAAGATAAGAAAAGGTCTCAACTACCGAGCATATCAATAATGTATCAAAAAGGTTTATCAAAAATATTGTGTGAGTGCGATTACATAGAAGCATTTTGGATTGGAAAAACACTGGCTTTTAGTTGGTGTACTCCTGTGCTGCTTTATAAAACCTTTGATTGTAATTTGATTTCCCCCAAAATGTATCTATTTTTGCCATTGTTTTCTGTGTAATACTCTTTGTTTTTTCCTAAGAAAAATATTGTTCATGCCCATTGCCAAGTCAATTATCAATGAAAAGAGAGAGAGAAAAAGTATTATGGCAGTTAATCGAATTTGGGCTAGCTGTTAAAACTCTAGCTCAGAATCCAGTGTGATATAAATATGGAAAAGAAGCAGAGTCCGGTGCCATTCAAATCTTAAACTGCTGCTTGTTTCAATAAGAACAGAGAAGATCATTTCTTTACAAAAGCAAGCTGGAGCTGCATGATGCAGTGGAAAGAACATAATTTATAAATCAGACCCATGGGTGTGGATCCTGGATTTTCTACTGGTTGGCAAGTTACTGCATCCATCTGAACCTTGGTGTCTTCTGTGTAAACTGCGATAGCCACAGCCCTTACAAGGCTGTTCTGAGGACTTAAGAGATTGGATGCCAAGTGCCCACAATTGAGTAGGTACTGCATGAGTAGGAAGTGCTATGAGAGAGGTTTTTGAAGTGCTGAAATTTGCTGGAATTTCACAGCAGTGCTTTAATAGGATAGACCCTTGCTCTTCTACCATGTGTTTGAGCACAGTAAGGAAAGGGGTCCTTTTAAAGCAGGGGATGTCACGCCTTGGCTCACAAACCCACTCCCACCCCAGTGGCTCCAGTCCATTTTAGAGTAGAAGCCGAGGTCCTGAGAAGGACCTACAACAAACCCTGTGTGATGTTATCCACCTTTGCTCCCTTAACTCCATCTACTTCTACTCTGATGGAATACAGATTTCCAACTTAAAGCTCTCCTTTGTTTCACACTGCACTAGAATGTCTTTCATTGGAAAATATTTCTGATGCTGGGACCTGGGTGGTTTCATTAACGTGTCACTTGAGTTCCACTTAATTTGTTGGAAGCATTTGAGGTTAATATTCTTCAGAGATAGGCTGATTGGCAGCCATGCTGGTCTCTTTGTTTTGCTATTTCTGCCCAGGTGAAATTGTTTAATTGCATTATTTTCAGGGAAAGAACATGAGAAATGATTTTATATTGTACCTTTTTGAATTTTCACTCATTGGTTTTGTTTTTATACTTCCCTTTTCTGGAGTCACCATTTTTGTTCTGATATCTTTTTGACATGTCATCATTTTGATCTTCGACATCATTTTAGTCAGACTGGCACTCTTTTGAGAGGTCATTGTAGGTAAATATTATTATACATCTTTCAAATTAAAATATTTGTTTCTTTAAAAAGGCTATGTAAAAGAAGACATTATAGAAGGTATAAAGTCTTTATAAAAAACCCTCAAGTTACTTTGGCATAGTTTTCTCTTTTCTCAACTGCAAAAAAGTGGGGGATTAATTTTATGACATAATTCCCTATTTAAAGCCATAATTTTATGGAGGAGGGTTTAACAGTAAAAGATTCTTTTATTACTTTTTCTTTCTGTTTTAGAATAAATTATATAAGAAAAAATGAGTCTCTCATTTTGTGGTAACAACATCTCTTCATACAATATCTACGGTGGTGTGTTACAAAATCCTTGCTTTGTGGATGCCCTCAACTTGGTACCTCATGTCTTCCTGTTGTTTATCACTTTTCCCATATTGTTTATTGGTAAGTAATCTAATGTCCTACATTCTTTTACCTACTATTTTATGTCTTGTTAATGGCTAAGATTTAGAGTAATATTGCATTAGTTTCTCCAACATAAAAGCTAATGTGTATGTCTATGAGAAAAGCATAAACACATACTTTGTGAGCACTATTTCAATTATATATTTTTGGCATATGAAATTCCATAGGCTAACTACCAGTCACATTGCCAGCTGAGCAGTAAGCTGGGTTAGAGGGAACCCTTGAAGATATTAGTGTAGGAAAAGACTATGAACAAAACCTTAGTCACACAGAATCTATCACAAAGAATCAACAACTGGAATCTCATCTTATTAAAAAGCTACTGCTGGGTCAAATAGGACCTCTGGCCCTAGTTCTTTGAGGAATCTCTGATTTCCACAGTGGGCGCACCAGTCTACACTTCCACCAACAGTGGAGCAGGGTTCCTTTTTCTCCACAATCCCTCCAGCATTTGTTATTGGTTGATTGCTTGATAGCAGCCATTCTTTCTGGAGTGAGGTGGAATCTCAGCATTGTTTTCATTTGCATCTCTCAAATGACCAGTGATGTTGCGCATTTTTTCATATGTTTATTTGCTGTTTCTACTTCTTTGTCTGAGAAATGTCTGTTCATTTCAGATGCCCATTTTTGGATTGGGTCTTTAAATTTGGGAGGTCTGATTTTTTTAAGTTCTTTATATATTCTAGATAGTAGACCTGTGTCTGAGGAACAGCAGGTGAAGATTTTTTCCCACATTGTGGGCTGTTTCTTCACTCTGTTGATGGTTTCTCTTGCTAAGCAGAAGCTTTTTAATAAGAAGAGATCTCATGTGTTGATTCTTTGTGCTAGTTCATATGCAATTAAGGTTTTGTTCATGAAATCTTTTCCCTCACCAATGTCTTCAAGAGTTATACCTAACCTCTCTTCCAGCCGGTTTAGTGTTTCTGTTTTAATATTTAGATCTTTGATCCATTTCTATTTTAGTTTAGTGCATGGTGAGAGATACAGGTCTAGTTTTAATCTTTGGCAAGGTGAAAAACCCAATTTTTCCAGCACTATTTATTAAAGAGGCTATCTTTCCTCTAGTGAGGGTGGTTGGCTCCTTTGCCAAAGATGAGGTGGCTGAGTGTGTCTGGAGTTGTTTCTGCACCTTCTAACAGGTTCTACTGATCCTGCTGGGTATCTTCCCAAAAGAATTAAAAGAATCATACCACAGCAATATATCTGCACCCATGTTCATAGCAGCACAGTTTGTAATAGGTAAAACTTGGAAACAGCCCAATTGCCCATCAACTGGAGACTGGATAAAAGAAAATGTGGGTTTAAAAAAATAATAAAATGGAGTACTACTCAGCTGTGAAGAATGAAAAACTAGAAACATTTATAGCTAAATGGATGCACATACTTGAGGCCATACTTTTAAGTGAAATAAATAGGACACACATGTAAATATTGAATACTTTCTCTGGTGTGAGAAACTGCAAGTGTAAATAAGGATCAAAATGTATAATAGATAATGTGAAATAGGAATAAAAGGTCCAAAGGGGAAGTGGTAGGGATAGGGGAAAGAAAAGAAGAGAAAGGAATAAATATGAGAAAAGGAACAAATGGAAACAAAGTCTTTGTAAATAGGAATGGGTGGGGGGGTTGAAGGGAGAGCAGGGGAATGGGGGGCGGGGAGAACCAAGATGTATTACGTAAAGGTACAAATTCCCAATAATGAATGTCAGCATATTGTATACCTAAAATGTACCAATAGAAAAAAAAAGGCTTTTGCATAGCAAGAGAAACCACCAACAGAGTGAAAAGACAATGTACAATGTGGAAAAAAAATTTTTACCAGCTGTTCTTCAGACAAAGACTACCGTCTAGAATATATAAAGAACTCAAAAAAAATCAGACCTTCCAAATTTAAAGACCTATTCCAAAAATGAGCATTTGAAATAAATAGACAATTCTCAGACGAAGAAGCAGAAACAGCAAATAAACATATGAAAAAAATGTTCAGCATCACTGGTAGTTTGTGAGAATCAAATGAAAACAACACTGAGATTCTATGTCACCCCAGAAAGAATGGCTGCTATCAAGAAATCAATGCTGGCGGGGCTGTGGGGGAAAAAAACGAACCCTTCTCCATTGTTGGTGGGAGTGTAACCATTGTGGAAATCAGTGTGGGGATTCCTCAAAAACTAAAACTAGAGGTTCCAGTTGACCCAGCTATCCCCCTTCTTGGTATCTTCCCAAAGGAATTAAAAGAATCATACCACAGTGATATATGTACACCCATGTTTTAGCAGCACAGTTTGTAATAGCTAAAGCTTGGAAACAGCCCAAATGCCCATCAACTGGTGATTGGATAAAAAAGATGTGATTATTTTATAAAATGGAATACTACTCAGCCGTAAAGAAAGGTAAACTAGAGTCATTTATAGCTAAATGGATACACCATGAGACCATACTCTTGAGTGAAATAAATAGCACACACATGTGTAAATACTGAATTGTTTCTCTGGTGTGAGAAACAAAGTGTAAATGAGGACTAAAATAGACATTGTGAAATAGGAAGAAAATGTTCAAAGAGGAAGGGGAACTAAGGCGAGAGGCGGGGGAAAGGAAAGGCGGGAAAGAAAAAAGTAAGAAAAGAAGGAAATAATGGAAACAAAGCTTCTGTAAATAGGGAGGGGTGGAGGGGTGGAAGGGGGAAATTATAAGAACCAAGATATATCATATACAGGTACAAATTCCCTAAAATGATTGTGATCATATGTTCACCTAAATTGTACCAGTGAACTCAATGAATTAAAAAGATAGAGGAGACAGTTCTATGAGATAGATCTACAGCATTTATTGAACACTTGCCTTATGCTAGGAGAGGGGAATGGAAACTGGGTAAAACCAAGTACTGTACTTGTCTCTCAGGACTAGTCTAGAGAAGCAGATATGTCAAGAGAAATGAGGATATCCCATGATCAGCCCATTTGGAGATTCAGGAGCAAGTTGCCTTGGGCATTAACCTGAGGAAACAGCTAACTCTCCTTGAGGCTGATGAGAAGCATTGAATAGAGTGACATATTTGGGGATAGAAACAGAGTAGGCAAGTTAAAGCAGGAGTGATGGACCATGGTTTAGGTAGGAAGAATACACGTGAAAACTATTTGGAAAGGAATTAGAAACAGACTCTTCTATTATTTAACCATTTACATATGTACAAAATCCTATTATTTGGGGTCATTATGTATAATTTATGGAATTTCCTCCAAACAACCAAACAGACTCTTTAACTTTTTAAAAATAGTGAAACATTTTTGCTGTAGAAAATGATTCAAATTAGCTGTAGTAAACACCCATTTAACCTACTACCAGCACTCATCTGAAGGAATACAATAGTAAGAATAAAAAAGACTCCTCTGTGTAGTATTTTCTGGTCCTGGTCTTCTCACATCTCTTGTTTTTATGTCTTCGCAAGAGGTAACTACTGTTTTCAATTATTTCATGTTTAATGTTACCGTGAATGATTTTGGTAATGACAAAAAGCAGAAAAGTTACTGGACTGGTTTTCTTAAAAAAGCTAGAATCAGGCCGGGGATTTTGCTCAGTGGTGCCGCTGCTTGCCTTGCAAGCGCCAGGTCCTGAGTTCAAGCCCCAGTACCACAAAAAAAAAAAAAAAAAAAAAAAGCTAGCATCATTTTAATAATCATATAACAATCAATTGAGAGGATACCATGTGTTTGATATTCTAACACAGATCAAAGAATTTCGGTCATATGGTACATTCAGAGGCCAACATAACTCTTGGTACATTGTTATTTCTGTTAAACAAATATATAAGCAATAAATGTATGGGGACTTGAGTGCCATATGTAGAAACACTAGTCATTATTTATACAGTAGTATTTGTAAAGTGTTAAGAAATCTTTTTATAAAATCAGAAGTAGAAAATGAGTATTTTATTATTAATTGAAATTCTAAAATTAATAATTCATTTTCATATATTTCATGAACTTCTTGAGAGCCAGGACTATGACATTCCGTTTGTAGTCTAACACAGAGTCTGGCAGTGAGAATATTTGAATAGAGAGGAATTGGAGTGGGCATACAGAAAAAACACAGGCTGTCATTTAAGGCATTGACTTTTGAGTCAGGGAGGGATTATACATAAATCTCAAAGAAGTATGGGGTACTAGGAAAACTACAGTGTTGTAAAACAGACACAGAACTTGCCTGCAAGAGTTTATAGCATAAATTCTAGTAGAATATATTCAATATGACTAACCTTCCAGTGATTAAGTACATTTGGAAACGACTAAGTCAGGAATCACTTTTCTTTACAAAGAATGCTCAGGAGTCCCTTTTGCCTACACGGAAATTCTTTCCTGCAATATTTCAAGTACAACCTCCCATCATTCCTTTTTTTTTTTTGGTACCAGGGATGAAACTCGGGTCCTTGTGCTTGCGAGGCAGGTGGCAGAACCACTGAACTAGATCCCCTGGCCCTTCCATCATTCATTTTTAAAGTATGTAGGGCTTTTCTAGCATCAGAAAATAGGAAAAAAAAAAAAAGATAAGAGCAGGATTCTTTCCTAGTATATTACAGATGAAGAGATGTTATTCTACCTATAGTTTTGGGAATAAACCATCAAACTTTGATTAATGTGTAATCTTAAATTTTTTCTTCTATGAAGAGTTAAGGGCTAAGCTAAAATGTTCTTGGATCTGCTTTGAAGCCCTTTAATAAACAAGATCTTAGCTTTCTTGGAGAAAAGTACCCATATACTTGTCAAATAATGCTGGCCAGTCATCGGCAATCATTTTTCTCGTAAGATAGGTGTATGATTCAGATTGACTCAATTAATGAGGCCTATATTTCATCACCACATACTGTATGTGTTTTTATTAGTCCTCCCACAGATCCCATGTCTTAAAAGATGATACACACCAAGTTTCTTTTGTTATTATAATTATTGGTTTCCTCTTGAATGAATCAGAAAGCTGTCAGTAAGAGCTTCCGATTAGCAGAAGATAGGACCATGCCCCTCAGAGTTGTGTCACTTTTGAGCAGTGCACCAAATGTTAACATATTAGCCTAGCCAGTGCTGTAAAAATTAATTAAAAATGTTATTTTTTAGCAGAATGCAATTAGAAAAGACTTTCCATCACTACCCTGGCAATCACCAAGGTCTCAAGAACCTGCCTTAAATTTACAATAATATAAATTATACCCTTGATTAAATTTGATCCTTTTGTTTAATCTGTTTCTTACTCTTTTTTTTTTTTTCCCAGGGTGGGGGAGCCAAAGCTCAAAAGTGCAAATTCATCACAATACCTGGCTTCATTTTCCTGGACATAACCTGAGATGGATTCTTACCTTTGCTCTCCTGTTTGTGCATGTTTGTGAAATAGCGGAAGGCATTGTCTCAGATTCGTAAGTGACTTGATTTACATAATATTGTTGCCAGTGGGTATATGAAGTGGATAGGAGTGAAGAGCATGCCAATTGAGGCTTAATTGTTGGAGCATAAATAATTAGGAACAATGAGATCACTCGTTTTATATGATAATTATCTTTTTTTTGTATTTTTTGTTCCCGTATAATTTCTCTGATAAAACAAGTTCATATCTCTATGACGTCTGTCCACTCAGGTACTTTATATTTCTCTGTTCCCTGCTCCAGTTAGCCCTTGCAGAGTCTGTCTTTTTCAACATTTTGATTTTATTTTATCTTTTAAAATTGGTATAAATGGAAAATGTGTCTATATTGATATATAGTTCTAGTGGCTGTATATTTATTTATATATAAATCAGGTGTTTCGGTTTATTTTGTGAAGAAGCAAAGGTAGAAGTGGCAGACACTAAAGAAGTCTGAAAATTAGCAAAGCATCAAATTACTTTAAAATCAGAATTTGTCACATAAAAAAACATGGTCTCAAAAGAATTTTGTACTGCTTATAAAAGAAGTTTGTATTAGGTAGTTAGAATATAATAACTTGTACTAATAAACTTGAGTATAAGGTAAGGAAAGTATTTTTCTCACAGAGTAAAAGAAAATACATTCGAGTAATAGGAAAAATTTGATTTTAAAATTGTGCTAAATAATTGATATGAGAAGGCCTTTAACGTTTTTAGAAAGAAAGCTCCAAAAATCATTTTTTTCTCTTATCTAATATAACCTCCCCTGACATCTGTTTATGTTTTTCTGTTGCAATTAGCAAGGAATGAAACTTCTAAGCTTTGTCATGGAGCCAACTATTTTGTAATGTATTATGATGGTTCTTTGCAGATATAAAAAGACAAACCAGAGATTCTAGTACATGCCACCACTTCAAGCATTTAGATGCTTAATGGGCTTCTAATTGATAGCTGTTTAAAACACTTTGGTTTGTTTGTATTAACAGAGCCACGTCTAGTCTTGATTTCTTTAACTTCCTTAACAAGCTTTCCATGTGTTTCTAAGAGTATGTATAAAGATCAGTGTAATATTCCTTAAAACCTTGGCATTATGTAGATTCAGGGACAGAAAATACAAGCTGAACTAATAATGGTCATGACATATGCTAAGAGCAGAAACTTGTTTTGTAGTGGTTGTGATACAAGAGGCCCATCCAAAAAACAAATAGGCAAAAATACCACCTTGATCTTGTGCTGCCCCCTTCTACTCTTTAGTTACAGGGTTCTTCTTGCTCTTTTCATGCAGGGTTCTCAAAAAGTCATCTGTCAGTGATTTCTAAACTCAAACATTTGGTTTGTTCTTTTGTTCTCTGTCCTACCTTGGATATTACTTCTATGAGAAAGCCAGAGAGCATGAGTATAATACCCTAAGGATACCTTTTGTCCTCCTCATAATTGTTGTCTTTGGCACTGCTGTTCATGGCTCCTTTCTGCCTTTTTTAAACAAAGTGTCTCTGAACTATTCTTTACTTAAAATACTTGTCTGACAAAGCTCCCTATAATTACTGAAGCAATGCAAAGGCTTTTCTCATTGAATATTTGATTTTTTTAACTAACATAACCTGTATATCCATTTACCTGTTAGATTATTTTCTTTGTGTTTAGTAGACATTTTCACAATGTACACATCCTGGCTGAAAGTAGCTTCTTTCTCCATCCCATTTGTCCTCTTACAAACTTACTTGGTTACAGGATCATCCACTCAAACACCTTAGTTTTATTTTCAAACTTTCCATAGCCATCGCCCTAATACACTAACACTATTAAAATCCTGTCCACTTCAACAATTAACCTTTGCCATATATATTATTTCCTCCATGTTACTGCTGTCATAGCATGAATTAGGCTTGTCTAGTGTGTTGCCTGACCTATATCCATGCTATCTTAAGTTCTCTTCCTTTGTCCACTTCTTTTTTCCTGCCACCACCCACGTATGACCTGTCAACTCCATCGTGTGCATTAGTTCAGAGTGAGCTGTTTAAAACACAAATCTGGTCATATCACTCATCTATTAACATATTACAGTTCTCTGCACTGTTTCCAGCCCTTTGCCATAGATCCAAAGCCTCTCATGATACATTCTATCTTAGACTTTCTATTCCAAGAATATTAAGTCACTTAGGATTTTGAACACTACTTCATGGTTCTACGTATTTGCACATTGTTTTAAAAATGCCTTTCCACTAATTTCCTGATTAGGGCATTTCATTTTATGTTTCATACCTCTTTCAAATGATTTCCTCAGATGTTTCCTTGCCCCTCACTCTTGCACTAGCTGCTCTGTTCTTTGTACCATTTAGTTACTAACGTATTTAAGTAATTTGAGAAGTTAAGTGTTCTGCTCTGTGGCATTCTTAATGCAGGTGGAGTGCAGGTAAGAGCTGTCTACCAGGCACATCCACCTAGGGCTCTGTAGCACCCTCAGAATGAAGCGCCCATGTCTTGCAGTTACTGTATCCTGAATTGCTTGCATTACCGTTAGATCACATCTGGATCCTCTGCCTGAAGTAGTCTTTCTCCTTTCTGCCATTGGATAATCCTCATTCTTAGTGTTTTAGTTCACAAGTCATTTCCTCCACTAATTTTTCTCTGTCCCTGGCTCCAGCCTTGTGTGCTCATTGTCTCTTCACCTGTATTATAATTTCCTGTTTGTTGTTTATTTTTTCAGTGCTGGGAATAGAGCCCAAGGGTACTGTGCCACTGAGCCCTTTTTATTTTTTGAGACAGGCTCTTGCTAAGTTACCCAGGCTGGTCAAACTTGAGATCCTCCTTCCTGAGCCTCCTGAGTAGCTGAGATGACAGGTCTGCGCCACCACACCTGGCTCCTTTGGTACCAATACTTTCAAAAGATTCATGACTTTGTGACCACAGATGTGATATCTTATCTTGTTTATTGTTGCTTCCCAGAACCTAATAGTGTCAAGACTAGCAAACATGCATGTGTGGAATGAACTAATACGAATGGAAAAATCTCTGAAGATCACAACAATTAGGAAGGAATAAACATAATATTCACGTTCTTCAGAGTTTAGATTAATTTGGTTATTTTTACTTGGTTTAATCATTAAATTATTTAACCATCTGTTTCTCTAAATAACAGGGCTCACATATTTATTTTGGTTGCAAGCATTTTAAAACAGTACTTGGTGTGCTTTTCTACACCTCTTGTGAAGAAAAATTCTTTCAGCAGAGTTATGTCACATAAAATAGTCTTCTCTTACGTGTTCACTTACCAACTACAACTCATTCTTGGTTTTAAACATAGTTCAAAGTGAGTTTTAATGAAAAAAAGATTGGGAACAAATAGTTGGGAAATTTCTGGAACCACAGCTAAGACCTTGACCCTGCTCTCCACAGACGGCGGGAATCCAGGCATCTACACCTCTTCATGCCGGCTGTCATGGGGTTTGTTGCCACTACTACATCCATAGTATATTATCATAACATTGAAACATCAAATTTCCCTAAATTACTCTTAGGTAAGTATGCTAAAGCTTGTTTTTTACCTTTCCAAAGGAGCTATTTGTTTTTCTTTTTCCGCATAGCAACGTACCATAAAAGTGTGTTGATAGTGGGAGGCATAGGAAAAAATGACAATAATTAATTCTCTAGTCGCCCAATAAATGTGGGGTTGAAGATAAACTGAGATGTCTATAGCAGTACCATATTCACTTTTTGATTGTTGTGTCTTTCTGAAAAACAGATCTTTTTATCATTACTAAAAGCATTTTTTATTTCTGATAATATTACTTGCCATGAAACCGACTTTGATTGATACTAGTGTATCAGGTTTCTTACGCTCCAGGTTTCTTATGCTTATTGTTTTCATTTAAAATCTTTTTTTCATCAGTTACTGTTAATCTACTGTTCCTAATACTTAGTTTGTCTCTTTAGGTAGCATATTATTTGGTGTGTTTTTTCTACATTCATTGTGACCATTCCTACCTTTTAAGCTAAAATGAGATATATATGTAAGTTCATATGCCAGTGTTCAATTATGTTTCACTAAGGAAGTTGTGACTACCCTTAATCTTTCTGGCTTTGATAAGAGTTCCCCAAAATGGATTGTCTTATATGTGTTTTAGAGTTCTTCCTTATCCCATATTCATTTGCGTGGGTTTTTATTTAAAGTTCAAAGTAGACAGAATCCTTGCCAACAAGTTTCTAGGAATATGTCTCCTTCCAACTCATGTTTGTTGTAAGTTGCTGGCAGTGGTTGTGAGACAGTGTAGATTCCTGCCTTTCTGGCTCAACTGTCTGAGGTCTGTGTTTGCTCTATGGGATTATTGTGCTTTTCTGGGCTCTGCAGATGAGTGTGGGGTTTATAACTATTTGGTTGAGAAGAGTCATTTATTATTTGAATGCCTGTGTGTAAAGCAGAAACTCTATTACATAACTACATTAATTCCACCATAATTCCAGGGTTATAGTGTTAGACCCCTGGGAACTACATGTTTATCTTTTGGATAAGTTTCACAGATACCAACTTGTGAATTCTTCATATAATCGAGGGTCTTAAAAAACAAGACCAGAGATAAAAGCACTTTTAAAATCTACAGGATTACACATAAATTCTGAGGAGTGAGGATAATACCTTTTACATGACTCTGTATAGCTTCTCAGATATCACATAGAATCAGAGTAGAGGCATTCCACATTTTTGAGCTATTATCATGCCTTCATGGATTGGAAGAATTAATACCATCAAAATGTAATTTACTGATTCATTGCGATGTTCATCAAAATACCAATGGCCTTCTTCACAGAATTATTTAAAATTCATATGGAAGCACAAAAGATGTGGAAGAAGCAAAGCAATCATGAGCAAAAAGAACAAAGTAGGAAGCATTGCATTACAGACTTACACAAGTACAAAGCTAAAAACTGCATGGTATTAGAATAAAAACTGACACACAGACCAATGCTACTGAATAGTGAGGCCAGAAATAACTCTGTGCACTTAAAGTAACTGACTCATGACAAAGGTATCAAAAGTATCTGTTGGAAAATGAACAGCCTCTTCCATAAATGATGCTGGAAAACTGAAAATCACAGGCAGAAAATTAAAACTTGACCCTTATCTCTTACGCCATATTATAACATTCACTTCAAAACTCCAGAAGCACACTAAAACATATCTTTTGTTTTCTTATCGAATAAATTTATGTACAAAATATTTAAATTGCCTTTGTTATTAAAAAGCATTATATTTATATTGAAATATTAGTGAAGTTTTAAAGAATATCGGGGAAGATTGCATCTTTTTCTCTTTTCTTCTATTTTTACAGCTTTATTCCTATATTGGGTAATGGCCTTTATAACAAAAACAATAAAACTGGTCAAATACTGGCAGTTGGGATTGGACATATCAAACCTGCGTTTCTGCATCACAGGCATGATGGTGATCTTGAACGGGCTCCTGATGGCTGTGGAGATCAATGTCATTCGAGTCAGAGTAAGTGGTAGTAGATATTGCTATCCAGGACCTCAACATTAAAGATTACAATCAGCCAGAAATTATTAATACTTGAGGTGATGAACCAATTGTAATATTCACAAGACTCATGTTTTGTCTATAATTACAAATCTACTATACTTTCTACCATGAAATGCTGCCAGTTATGTTATATGAGATGCTATTCAATATTTTCAGTATTCATTTTCTATCAGAGAACTTTCAGCTTGCTCTAAGACTGGAAAGATAACACACTGCAATGAATGTGGAGAACAGGAAATGAACATCGGTCAAACTACAAATCAACAGTGACTCAACGATAATGTTGATAACACATTTTGAAATCTCAATAATATAAAAATCTTCTTGGTGACCTTACTACATAATGAGAAACATATTCTTTTAAAAGGCTAGTTGACCTTAGGCAGAAAGTAAATCAGAAGACAGAGATAATTTCTGAAGTGAATCATTTTGACAATGACAAAAGTTGGTGTTGCTCAGAAGAGGGTGACTTGCTCTGCCTCCAAAAGGAGAAAGAAATCCTCCCTGGAGACCCGAAAGACTTGAGTGAGTTTCAGACCCCTGCTCTGCCCACCCAGGACAGCGGAAAGCCATGCAATGATGCGACTCAGAATGCCTCAAGGGTGAGGAAGCAGGTCCGTGGTGTGCTGCTTGTAAGAGTGATTCCTAGAGAAAGAGGTTATCAAAATACAGAAATAATTTCAGAGCTCCCCCACCCTTGGGTGAGCAGAGGCAGGCCTGCACACCCTAGAAAAAGATAACTTGTTTCTTTAACCCAGAAGGATGAAGAAACCATTTGTGCAAACCCAGAAGTCTCGTGCAGTTTCAGTTGATCTTCCCACCAAAGATCACAGAAATTTATGTGACTATGAGGCCCAGAAAAGCTGTGTCACCAGTATGCAGTTCCCTCAGCAAAACAAATCAAAACCAAATAAGCTTAAGCAGAAAGTAAATCGGAAGACAGAAATAATTTCTAAAGTGATCCAGATACATGAGGATATTGATAATGATGTACATGGCCGAAAAAGCTACTCAGAAGATCTTGATTTTAAAAATCAATAAATCTAAACCAAGACCCAATCACCAAGGCCTCATCAGGGAATACTATATGGAGAGCAATGGTACTGAGAAGGAAAATTATGACCAAAGTCCAAATTCCTCTAAACTAGTTAAAAAGCGTAGGAAAATATCATCAGGCAAGGCAAGGAGCATTCTGACAAGCGATCAGAGAAAGCTGGCCTGGCCGTCCTGGGCAGATTCTCCTCAGACACCCGCCTCCTCGGAGTCTGGCCTAACGCAAATCGGCAGTGGGCCAGGCCCGGCTGCTAGAAGGCTGTACTCCGCAACTGCAACTCCAGATGCAAAAGGCGATGCTCCCTAAGTGGAAGCGAGAAGGCCTGGCAGTGCCAGGCCACAGAGGTGACCGTGAGGACATCCAGAGCAAGGCTCCCCGGAAGCTGTGGCAGTGCTGCCCCTAGCCTGGCACAGGAGGCCTGCTGGCTCTGAGCACACCGACCAGGAAAACCGCGGGGAGAGCAGGACGACTGACAGCGCTGAGCCAGACTTTCACACGGAGCTGTTTCGGCCTTTTTCTCAGAGGTATCCATCTGATACACGGGGTCCTTCCTCTGATGGTGTCCCTGAGGGTTCGATGCCCAGGAGTGCTTCTTCTGGTAAAATCCTGATCCTCAAAGACCATTCTGCCCCTGAGCGCTCACCCCTCCTTCGAGCCAGTGGCGGTGGCGGGAGAGCACAGAAGCCAGAGACAGGTAACAGAACACTGCAGGAGCTGACAAACACCAGTTTCTTTTCAAGTAAAACTGCGAAGTCTGAGAGTGAGTGGAGTGGAGCCTCTGAGGCACCAAGCAGAAAGCAGAGGTGCACGCCGCTCAGTCTGCAGGAACCCAGCCTCAAAAGAAAGATGAGAAGATTAAGTAAAGATGGGCTCTAGTTTTTCTGAATTCTCAAGGAACCAGAAGTCAGAACAAAAATATACCTAGGATCACAAAGGTAGAACACTTGAGGAAAAGTCTTTTTTCCCCCTTTTTGGGCTTTTTCTTAAGAGTGCCGATTTGTTCATTCTTATATTTAGATGTATGTGCATAAAGTAGCTAGTTTTGTAATATTAAATTTCTAAAATAATTGTCGTCATACAACTTATTTTCCTTGTCATACAAGTTTCTTTCTACCTAACATCCTTTAACCAAACAACAGCTATCAGCCTTTAACTGCACAAATGTATGAATAAATACTTTTGCATTGGTTAAAAAAAAAAAAAAGGCTAGTTGACTTTTTAGAATTGGCCCCAAGCAGTTTCAATAATATAAGTTTGGCATCATTTAATTAATCTAGTGAAAACAAAAGGAAAATATTTCAAAGAATGTTTCAGAAAGGTTTGGAAGGAAGCATTAAAATATAAATTTTGCCCACCTGACATGAAACTATAGAAAAGGTTGGAATTGTCTTTTTAATATGTGGAGAACGAATAGGGCTAGTTGTAACACTGTGGAATTTTTGTGTCACAGAGATATGTATTCTTCATGAATCCTCAAAAAGTAAAGCCTCCTGAAGACCTCCAGGATCTGGGTGTGAGATTCCTTCAACCATTTGTGAATTTACTGTCAAAAGCAACGTACTGGTGGATGAACACACTCATCATTTCCGCTCATAGGAAGCCTATTGATCTGAAGGCAATTGGAAAATTGCCCATAGCAATGAGGGCGGTAACAAATTATGTTTGCCTGAAAGATGCATATGAAGAACAAAAGGTAATTTAGCATCTGTCTTCCATGTCTATATTTGTAGAGAATGAGCTTATTTAAATTTAAAAGTACAAAGTTTAAATAGTATCTATGATCAAAGAAGAAGAGTTTTTCTCTGTTTTTCCTAACTGGTGTTTTAAGTCACTTTGTCTGATCATGGGGAAAAGGCTGGAAGCGACAATGACTATTGTCACATTGCATTAGTTGTCCAGTCACCACATGGCCAGGGGAACCCCCTGTCTTACTTCTGGGACAAATGACCAAATGGAAACTAAAAGCAAAGACCAAGGATCCTATATAATTAACCCATATTACCATCTAATATTAATAATTCAGGGAATTTTTATTGTCTTTTTTTCAAGTAGCTTGTGAATAATTTTTTTACATAGAGGTAAAATAGATCATATTCACCAGTAACCACTTTTACGAAGTTAAAATTCTTAGACTAATTAACCAAAATTGGCACCTGAGTGAGTAAATTAAAAGGGTGCCATCTCCCTACTCCATGCATTATCCTATATGTCTTCTAAAATCAGTTTCTTCTGGTACTTTCCTTGAATATCAATAATTGTTTTAGAAATTTTGAAAGATGAGAGTAGTTGGATGTTTTCAGTTTGTTTTCATTCTGAAGTCATGCATGCTATCCACAATGGTAGATATGTTTTATATTGCAATCATCTACAAATATCAGGGTCACTTAAAATATTGATATTCACAATAATACTGGAAGAGAGTAAGGTATGGTGAATCAGTTAAAGAGATTTTGGCTATTCTAAATCAAGATCAACAAAGCATTGATGGTAAATGATGAAAATGACCTTTTGTTTCAGAAATTTGTGTTATGAAATTACTATTGCAGGAAATGGTTACTACAAATGAACCTGAGTCATTTCTCTGGTTTTACCCCTGGGAAAAGTATTGCATAAAACTTTTAACTTTTCTGCTCAAGTAAAGATTTACAATATAGAGTAAAAATAGCTTAAGTTCTCTGAGTGTTCTTTACAACATAGACTAACTTGAGTTTCATATGTTAATGTCCTATCAATAAACTTTAGAAAAATAATCTGATTGTTCATTCTAATTGGGATTTGAATGTGGAACACAACTGAAGTCCATTCCATTGAGTTGGCTACTTTGCCACAATGAGAAACTTGTATCCACTTTGTGTTCAAGATATATTTATGATGAGTGTTCAGGTTGTAAAATCTTTATTACCAAGAAATGTAAATAGGTAAAGTAATGAACTGATTAATCATGTATTCCATTCTTCATTTTGCATTTCTTCAAGGAATTCTTAGCAAATACAGGCTTACTATAATTTTTTTAAAGTACTGACTACTTTTCACGGAGACAGAGAACTATGGGGGCGATGCAACTAGAAACAATTTGAGATTAAGACAATCTGTTTTAGTGTATAGTAATTGATAGGTAAATGTCTCCTGTCCTGCTAATTCCACATATTTTGAGCAATTTATCAATAATCTCCATCTTTGTACCTTACTGTCTTCTCTTACATAAAATGTTGTTTAGAAATATTCATGATGATATGTATCTTCCAAATCAAAGGTAATTAATTAATTTGGCCTTAAGAATTTCTTATCATCCTTTGACAACTAATAATAAAGCAGTCTAAGAAAATCTGGCCTGTATACTTTTCATTCTATTTTTTAAAAAAATGCATCCAATAGCTACTATTTGCATAAATGCGAGGATACAAAATTACTCATGTTGTATTTTATATATATTCATGCTATATTATTATATGTGGTCTATAAATTTATATATCTACTTTTCAGCCTTTAAAAGTCAGAACAATCAGAAGGAATTCGTGGTTGTATAGATTAATTGCTGTTCTGGCCAGTTTTATTTTGGTGTGTCTGGTTTTTCTTTCAGAAAAAAGCAGCCGATCACCCTAATAGGACTCCATCTATATGGCTTGCGATGTACAGAGCTTTTGGGAGACCTATCTTACTGAGCAGCACATTTCGTTACTTAGCCGACTTGCTGGGTTTTGCTGGACCTCTCTGTATTTCTGGAATAGTTCAACGTGTGAATGAAACGCAGAACGGGGCAAATAAAACAACAGGAGTAAGTTCATGGTGCTTTTGAAAAGAAATACATTATTGGCAGATGTCTTTGTAATCATCACTTTTTAGTAACATAGTTTTATGAGTAATTTGAACAGGCTTATTTACAGAAGATTGAATTTCTTTTTTAAAAAATAAAAGTAACATTTTTTTGTGGAAAAGTTTATGTTTGTATATTCATTGAATTATCTGGCTAACAAAATGATTTCTCAGATTCAGAGCCTATAAATATTTAATAAGCATCTATTTTGTGCCAGAAACTACATGTGTAAATTTCACATGGATTCCTTTGTTTGAACTTTATAGTAATTTCCACGCATGAGTACACCAGGGGTGGCTGAGTCACTTTTTTTAAAGGCCTGTGACCAATAATATTAGTAATGTGCTTTGTAGTATTACACATTTTTCCGATGTGATAAGAGCCATCCCTCTGTTTCACAATGCTCGGAGGGAATCTTGGGAAACTTTACTAGATATTATGTTATTATGTGGAGGGATAGGTAATAAAAAATACTATACATTTGCTATTATAAATACAGAATGTTTTCATTTTCTGTTCTTAAGGAAGTCTGCAGTGTGCACTTTCTAGGTTTTCTTTTTCCCTCGGATGACTTGATTTCCCTAGTTTCAGAAATAGAGTCTATCCAGGTGAATCAACTTTCCTTTTCTGTTTTCTCACTCTGATTTCTGGTCCTTTTTTCTGCACCTATTAAAATTTTATACACTATCAAAGCCTACATTAAATGCTGCCTCACCATTGAAGCTTTTTGTGGTCATTCTAGCTGGAGCCTAACTCCTCTGGATATTCTCCTAATGCTTTCTTTACTTCATCTTGGCATTTTCTGTTTCTGGTTTTCACAGTGAAGCATATGAAGTGTGATCGAAAAATATGGTGAATGTTTACATTAAAAAAATTATTACAATAAAAGACACGTTGTCATTAATCTCATTCAAAAAACCTCACCTCCCTTCAAACACACTCATCTCATTGTTCTTGCCACTTTCAGAGCCACTTCTGGAAGTCCTCTTTTGTGAGTGTCATTAGTTGTACTGTCCTGTTGATGTGTAGAATCCACTAAAAGTGGTCATTTTGACTTTGGTGAAGGGCCTGAAGTTGCATGGTGAATAAGGTGGCAGAGGGGACGCTGTAATGTTTTACCAACCTGGCTTTCTGTAAGACGGCACGTGGCTTCAACGTTCACTGTATTTTTTATCACACCTTGTAAAGACTCTAAAGATGACTTTCAGAACTGCTTCAGTAAATGGCAAGAACAATGAAATGAGTGTGTTTGAAGTCAGGGGGTAGTATTTTGAGGGACAATGTGTCTTTTACTATATTTATTAAAATTTAAACATTCACTGTATATTTCTATCATACCTTGTGTTACTTATAGATACACTTACCTTTCTCAGTTGTAATCTCTGTAAAGAGAATAACTGAGCTGTTCAACTTTCATTCCCACAATATTTACCCTGACTGTTTGCATACATTAGCATTTAATTATTATTAAAGTAAATCATAGGTTTTCATCACTGGATATAATTTTGTGATGTTTTGTTCCTACTCATCTAATACATGCAAATATCTAAATTTCACAGAGTGCTTCTACCACCCTCATCCCTTACATATATTAAGCATGTGATTTTCTGAGATGGAACAGGACTTATAGATTTGTATAAGGACAGATGAGGAAGGAGCCACAAATAGAATTTCACCAGATCTGTCACTAAAAACAAAGTGTCCCCATTGCTACAGTGAACTTAATCAAGTGTTGTCCTTTCCTTTTTTCTAACAAGCAGGTTACCATATGCTATCGTTACAAATAAAATTCAATAACTTGTGTGTATTCTTACCATAAATTAAGTTATATTTCTACTAGAACAATTTTTCTCTTGAATTTTTTATTTTTTATTGGTACATGTTTGCAGTACATGATACTTAAAATATTCATTGTGGAGAGTTGGTACACGTATATAACACGTTTTATTTTTACTTCCCTTTACCCTCTTCTCCACCCCCCGCGTCTCTAAGTCCCTTTACCATTTACAAAAGCTCTCTCCCTCCCCGCTGCTGACTTTAATTACCCATCCTTTAGTTTGCTCTTTAAATTATTTATTCTTTGTTTTTCATGAAACAATGAGATACTTAAGCTTGTGTACCTGATTTATTTCATTTAACACTGGTCTCAGGCATATCTGTTTTTCTACAATTAACTCAACTCTGTTCTTCTTATGGCAGAGTAGTATATGCCATAGTGTATGTATATCACATTTTCTTTATCTATTCATCTGTTCATGAATCTATAGGCCTTTTCCAAGATTTAGCCACTATGAGTTGTGCACCTATAAACTTGAGTATGCATATATCACTGTGATATGATGTCTTTGATTCTTTAGGGAAGATACTTAGAAGGGAAATAGCTGGGTTGAAGGGAATTTCTAGTTTTAGTTTTTTGAGAAATCTCCTTACTGATTTCCATAGTGGCTGTACTAGTTTACATTCCCACCAGCAATGTAGAAGGGTTCTCTTTTTCTCCCCCACAGCTTTGCCAGAATTTGTTATTATTTGATTTCTTGGTGGCCATTCTTTCTGGGTTAAGATGGAATTTCCATATTTAAACTTGCATTTCTCTAGTGGCCAGAGATATTGAACATTTTTTAATGTATTTATTGATCATTTGTACTTCTTTTGAGACGTACTTATTCATTTCAATTGTCCATCTTTTAATTTGGTATTTATTTGGGGGGAGGTCTAATTTTTTTGTTCATTACATATTTTAGGTATTAGTCCTTTGTTTGAGGGGTAGCTAAAAAAACTTTTTCCAATTCTATAATTTGTCTTTCTTTCCTGTGTAGAAGCTTTTTAATTTGATATAGTCATATTTGTTGATTCTTAATGTTATTTCTTGTGCAATTGGGGTTTCTGTTCAAAAAGTCTTTACCTATGCCAATGTCTTCTATTTTATCTAATGATCTTCTGGTAGATCATTTCTATTTTAATATCCAAGTCTTTTACTAATTTTGATTTTATTTTAGCACACGGTGTTGTTTATGGGTCTAGATTCAATTTTCTGTGTATGTAAAAGCAGTTGTTTACCCAGCACCATTTGTTGAAGAAGTTGCCTTTCCTCCAGTGTATGTTTTTGGTTCTTTTGACAAAGATCAAATGACTGAAGTTGTTTCTGCACCCTCTTCTTTTTATTGTTCCATACAATGCTGAATTTGTCATTGTGGCTTTGTAATATAATTTGAAACCTGGGATTATGATGTTTCCTGGTTTGCTCTTGTTGCCCTGGATTGCTTTAACTTTTCCGGGTCTCTTTTGCTTCCACATAAGTTGTATATAAATATTTTTCTATTTCCATGAAGAATGTTGCTGGAATTTTCATTGGGATTACATTAAGTCTATGTATCAGTTTTGGTTGTATGGTCATTTTTGACAATATTGGTCTGCCTGACCAAGAACAAGGAATATCTTTCCATTTTCTGATATCCGCTTTGATCTCCTCTTTCAGAGGACTGTAGTTTTTGTTGGAGAGGTCTTTCATGTCCTTGGCCAGGTTAATTCCTAAGTATTTAATTTTTCTTGAGGCTGTCGTGAATGATTTTTTTCACAAATTTTTTCTCAGTGCATTTATTATTGATGTAGAGGAACATCATTGATTTTTGTTTGTTGATTTTATATCATGGTATATAGCTAAATTTGGGTATTAGTTTTAGCAGTCTTTTGATGGAATTTTTGGATCTCCTCTGTAAAGGATCAAGTCATCTGTAAATAATAGTAGTTTGACTTCCAGAACAATTTTTTATAAACTGTATTTTTCCCTCTGTAAATGTCACATGCATGGGTAAATCAGTAGTCAAATTGCCTATTTATAATACATAATTTCATTACTATAAAGAAATTTGAAAAAAATCACTGAATTATTTGAAAGTAATGGTGTTACAGAAATGAGATTTTATCCCATTGGTCTGGCTGACCAGGTATGTATTTTGTGGTTTCTAGTTTTAAATTAAAATCTAAACTAATTTTTCTCCCCCCCCCATTTCCTATTTAAGGTAGAATGGATCTTTGCAGGAAACACACCCAGATTTTTAAAAATTAATGGCTACCCCCCTACAGTTAGACGTACATAGCAAGCATAATCATCAATTAGGGACTTTATGCATTGGGCTGCTTTGCATCTGCAGTTGTGGGAATAATGGAGGAAAGCTATTGTTGCCTTACTGTGCCCCATTCCACAGCTGGCCACTGAGGTTTTATATTTAAGAATCATATCTGCTTTAAGAAATGCAAACTGTATATGTGGAGATGAAATGAGTAGTTTAAATTTGTATGTGTGTGTGTGTGTTTTTTTGTACAAGATTTCAGAAACCCTCTCGTCAAAAGAATTTCTGGAAAATGCTTATGTTCTAGCCGTTCTTCTCTTCCTCGCCCTTATTCTACAAAGGACATTTTTGCAGGCTTCCTACTATGTAACCATAGAGACTGGCATTAACCTCCGCGGAGCTCTTCTGGTACGTGCCGTCCAGTACCTTCCAGTGGTAGGACTAATGGTACCTTCATTTATTTTTCTTATTTTGGATTTCATTTTCACTTTGATAGTACAGCATCATTTTTAAGATGTATTTAGCAAAAGGAACACAGAACTCATTTATAAACTCATTGAGTTAAAAATGACTTAAAATCGCATATTTAGAAAAATATTTAGAAGTCTTGGAATTACTTATCCCTATTCTTTTTGTTCTTGAACTTATGTCCAAAGTTGAATATATAGATTACATTACTAGAAAAAATAACTTTGCATTTAATTGAGGACAAAGAATAACTGCTAAAATAAGAATGGTGGTTGATTTAAGATGTCCATGAAAAGTTTTCCTCACTTTTTCAAAAAATTTTAAGATAATTATTATTTTTTTCATCGAAAGTCAATAATTATAGTATGGTTAAATTTAGAGCTTTATGTGTATTTTTTTCTTCTTATAGGCCATGATATACAATAAAATCCTTAGGCTCTCTACATCTAACTTATCAATGGGTGAGATGACCCTGGGACAGATCAACAACTTGGTCGCCATTGAAACCAATCAACTCATGTGGTTCTTATTCCTGTGTCCCAATCTGTGGGCTATGCCTGTTCAGGTAGATCATTATAAGTAAGGCTCTCTCTGGTAAAGGAAATAAAGCAAAAAGAACACTAGATATTTAACTGGGAATCATTTTTGAATATACTGATGTTATTAGACCATTTCTGTAGACAAGGAAGCTGAGAACAGAAATGTTACAGCCTGGGTTAAGGAAGCGAGATTTGGAATTGTACTCCTTGGGTTCAAATGTCTGCTCTACCCATTGTTTGTACAAGTACTTAACCCCTCACAGCATTACTTTCCTTCACTGTACAATGGGAATCATAAGAGAGAATTGGCTCATAGAGTTGTGAGACTGTCAAAGGCAGCATGTGCAAGCATTTAGCAAGTCCCTAGTATTTCATGGCCACTGAGTAATTGCTATTGTGTACTATTGCCTAAATTTGTGCAAGTCACAAAGCTAAGATTTGACTCCTTTCATTTTGACACTCTTTTGTAGCATTCCTAAACTACATCAATTTCTTTAATCCATCCCATGATTTCAACAGCTTGTATATTACAAAATATCAAACTTTATAAGGTGGTAAGAACACAGACAAGCCGAAGGGCCGTTTGACTATCCTAGCATTTCAGTAAGGATGCATGATTTTTCAGCCAATTGGATAAAAATGGCAAAAGAGATATATTTGCTTTTTCTTCACTGTCATATTGTATATTTTCTGTTTTCTCAAGTTTTGCATCCTGTAGATGGAGCTTAAACTGTAGATCTCATTTGATGCAGTCTATTACATTTCCTTGTGTACTGCATTTGTTACAGTGCATAAAATGATAAAAATATAGCTTGCTTTTAAATTTACTATTTTTATTTTTATTTTTTAGTGGAGCACCAAGTCAAATTAAAATGTTTTATCATACCTAGTGCACAGCATAAAAATAAAGGTATTGGGCTGGGGCTTTAGCTCAGTGGTTTCGCCCCCTGCTGCTCAAGTGCAAGGACCTGAGTTCAATTCCCGGTACCAAAAAAAAAAAAAGTATAATTTGTCTCATTTTATCAAAACATCTTATATATAGTATCTCAATCAGGTAGCTGCCTATGTAGTATGATTTGTTGCACTGAATGACGGCATCATAGGTGACCATAAGGAATGTTTTATTTTGATTGGAATTCCTCAAATACTTAATTGGTTGGGAGTACACATGTCATCTCCACGGGAAAGCTGTTATCATTGGCATATAGGCATACATTTTATGGCTGAATCGCATGGATGTGGTGCATTACATGACATTTGGAGCTACGATAAATTGAGCTCCTGGAGAAAAATCAGGGAGAGATGATAATGAAGTTAAATCTTAAAAATTTAAAGGAGGAAGAAGAAAGTGGCAAACCAGAGAGAAGTTAAACATAAATAGTTCAGCACCGAGTTTGGGAAACATTTAAAAAAACGTAAGTGAGGTAAACTGGTACTCCAGTACCAACTTTGGTTTATTAACAGTTTTAATTAGTCCTACTTGTCATGACATAGGGAACTTTGGGAGTCATTGAGCTGCTGAGGAACTTTGGTCCATAAACAATGATCCTATACTCACCCATAATGCTGCCCTCTACTTTCCATTCCCATAGCTTTGAAAAGCCAGTGCAATTCCAAGAGAATGTGAAATGTTAAATTCGTGGTAGGTGAGACTATTTTCAAAAAAAAAAATTTGTGTTCTTTTAAAATTTTAAGATTGCTTTATAAGGTCAGAAGTGTTATGGGACCATTCTGTAACTTCATGCAATAAATTGGTTTGACACCAGTTGTACAAATCATTATGCTAAAAATAAATTCCTAGTACTTAGCCGTCCCCAAGTAAATCACATTAAAACTCAACTGTCACAGCTGAGTTGATTTCCAAATAAACTTAATGTAATAATTAAATTACTGGATTTTCACTAAAAATATTTGCTTTCATGCAGTGGCTCCTACAGCCCCATTTATTTCTCTTTTTCCATATGTTTTCCTTCCCAGATCATCATGGGGGTGATTCTGCTCTATAATTTACTTGGATCAAGTGCATTGGTTGGTGCAGCTGTCATTGTGCTGCTCGCGCCAATTCAATACTTCATCGCTACAAAGTTGGCAGAAGCTCAAAAGAGCACTCTTGTAAGTAGCATCTTTTGGAAAATTTATTAGGAAAATCCTGCTCTGCTGTTTTATTTTTATAATATAGGAAGTTCATACATGCCACTCGGGATAATTTTGAAATCATTATATTTCATTGCAATTCTTAGACAGCAAATGTGTGTTTTCTGTGTTGCAAGAACACAGAAACCTTTGGTACTAGGGATTGAACTAGTACACGCCAGACACGCTAGCTACATCCTCAGCCCATTTTAGTGATTTTTTTAAAAAAATTTTAAGGTTCTTACTAAGTTATGCAGGCTAGGTTTGAACTTGCAATCATTATTTTCTTTTTCCTGTTACTGGGAATCAAACTCAGGACCTTGCGGTTGCCAGGTATGCATGGCACCACTGAGCTAAATCCCTGGCCCCTACATTGAAATCCCCTTGCCTCAGCCTCTCAAGCAGCTAGGATTACAGGTATAGAACACCATGCCCAGCTGCTAAAAATTTTTACAAGTGGAATAAAAATTTAATACTTGATTATCTTACATTTGAAATACCAGAATCATGGTTCTTGATGTTTTTAAGTGCCAAGATGTGAAGAGGCTTTGGATCTTCCTCTTTGGTCTTTTATCCAGAGAATACTCTTTAGTGTACTTTGAGACAATTGGGTGGCAGTTATTGATGTGGAAGACATGGATCAAGGGACAAGTGAAGGGTCAGGTTTGGTAGCTCTGAAATTAAATTTTCCTCTTGTAGACTTACCAGGTGATGGGGCATGGAGTTACATGGAAATGCTTCAATGGCAGCTGCTCTGGCTGAATATGTTCATGGTCAACTTGGCAAACAAGGAGGAAAGCCCAATTGTTGACCTTTTTTGGCTTCAATTTGCCATGAAATCATTTTAGTTGAGCAAGAATTGGCTGCTTTAAAAAATATTTGCAAATAATAAAGGATGTTGAGAAATAGTTTGACTGAATATGAACTAGACCTCCTGTAAGTCAGGCGTAAAATGTAGGGATGCTGGCATTGATGGATGCTTCTCATCTTGGTGTTTCTACCATGACATGCACGTTGTGTGTCACGCGACTGGTTTTGTATCACTTGTTTTTCTGATCCTTCTGGTGAAGTTTATTCCATATTTCTGTCCGAGCCATCTACCCTTTTTACTCCACCACACAAATACATAAAGGGGTGGAAGAGGGACATAAATGGAATTATGACTACCCTCACATCTGTCTTTCGTTTAGCTGTTCATACCACATCCATTCACTCATTAAACAATCATTTGATAGGCCCTGAAGACCCTGAAGAGTCAAAAAGATGAACAAAATACAGTCCATTGGCTACTTTTGCTTTTTCCTATCTACACTTTGGCCACTCCACTGTCCCTTTTAATAGTTAACAGGTCCTACTGTACCTTGCTAATAATTCTAGTACATTGTTTGGTGGTGGAGGAAGATAAACAGCTGATTAGATGTAGGCATGTGTATCTGCTCCAGATCTTTCGATAATTAATCCAAGTTGTTAGTATCCAGTAAATGTACATTAGACATTAAAAAAAAAAGAGCTGAGAAAGAAGTATATAGAAATCTCATGAAATTAAACATACTGTTTAGTTTCAATAGCTGTATTGTAAAAACACAATGTGAATGCATACAATATTGTAGCCTAATAAGAAACAAATTTTTCTTAAAGTCATTATTTTTTTTCTTCTAAATATGAGTGATAGTGCTGAGAATTAAATAATTTAGGTGTTAGGAGCCATTGTAAGTCTCTGTCATTTCTTAAGATTCATGTCCGTATTATCTGCAGATATTATTCCAGAGAATCATGTGAAACGGAAGAAACTATTTTTATATAAACCCAAGTAACAAATACATATAATTTTTTCAGCAGAAAGATGTTTTGAGGCCACATCTTTAAATTCTTCATTTTAAAATCGAGGAGTCAAAGCACAGCGAGTTTAACTGTGTCTCAGAATTTGACAGCCTGACTAGTGGCAGAAATCAGAAATCGAGATCTTCTCAATGCCTGTCTATTCCTTCATCCTACCTTTTGGATTCAAATGGATGCACCTTGTACTATATTGTATTCTTTTGTTTTATAGGATTATTCTACTGAGAGACTGAAGAAAACAAATGAAATATTGAAAGGCATCAAACTTCTAAAGTTATATGCCTGGGAACATATTTTCTGCAAAAGTGTGGAAGAAACGAGAATGAAAGAATTATCGAGTCTCAAGACCTTTGCACTTTATACCTCACTCTCCAGTAAGTTGGTGTTCCTCTCAGGACAGGTGATGTAAAGAGTGAGCCACTAACACAATCTATCCAGTTTGGATTATGATCTATGAAATGCTGTAGTCAGCAGAGGAAGCTGTTTATTTTCTACATGAGTGCAGTGTGGTAGCCACAAGCCACAGGAAGCTATTTACATTTAAATTACAGACCAGGATAGGCACAGGTTTAGAGTCCAATAGACTGAATTTGACTCCTTGCAAGTTATGTGACCTTGGCTATGTTTTTTGTTTGTTTGTTTGTTTGTTTTTTGCGGTACCTGGCACCAAACTCAGGACCTTGCCCGTGCCAGAAAGGTGCGGCACCACTGAGCTACATTCTCAGCCCTTCAGGCCATGTTATTTTACAAAGTGAAATCCTTACTTTCTTTATCCGTAGCATGAAGGTGGTGATAGTATTAGTAACTTTAACTGAAATCTTTTACCAGTTACTACTGGCGTGGTTTAATTGGTTTCCTTCCTTTATATAAACCCAAGTAATAAATATATATAATTTTTTCAGCAGAGAGAAATTTTGAGACCATATCTTTGAATTCTTTTTCCTTCCTTCCTTCCTTCCTTCTGTCTGTCCATCTGCCCTTCCTTCCATCCTTTCTTTTGTGATACATGGCCTTCACACTCAGCCACATCTCAGATCTCTTTTTATTTTTATATTTTTTTCAGATCTCTTTTAAAATTATTTTTAATTTTGAGACAGGGTCTTGCTAAGTGGTTAAATTGCCCAAGCTGGACTCAAACTTGGAATCCTCCTGCCCCAGCCTCCCAGATTGCTGGGATTACAGGTGTGCACCACCAAACCCAGCTAAAATTTGTTTTTGGTAAAAATTCATTTCTTTAAGTTGATCTGACTATGTTACTATCAATCTTTTTATCTCCAAATATTTAAAAAATTATATATAGCTATATTTGTTTTGTCTATCTTCTTTAGAACTTATATTTTCATGAAGACTGTATTTGAAATGCCATTTTCAAAAACTGGGGAGAAAGTAAAATCATTTTCAAGTAAAAAAAAGCCAAATGGTAGTCACATAAAACTCTCTTTTCCAGAACATTTAAAATTTTTATCCTCAAAATATGGCTTATTGCTCTCAAGAATGATGGATCCATATTAGTGCAGTTCACAAAAACTTAACCAAACTATACCTCCACTAATATTTGCTTTGGTTGATTTCTGTGTTAGTTCTACTCATCTCTGTTGGCCCCGAAGTTTACAGCTTAAAGTTTTATAAGCTTATGTACTGTTTTCTGTTGAATTATAAATGACTTTAAATCTTAGTGATGATAATAATTCTTCCGTGAAATACACTTAGAGAAAATATTGAATGTGCACTCTATTCTGGACACAATGTCCAGTGTATCACACTGATGTCATATAAAGCAGGTGGCAAGTCTCTAGTGCTCACTAACCCCTGTCCTCAGTTTCTGCAAATAAAAATTGGTGTAGTGGTAATACCAGCATTACAGCTATGTTGTGAGAATTTTTTTTTAAAGGCCATAAATGCGATACTGTCAGTAAAAGTTAAAATATTTGACGAGTAGTACTTGTAGAACACACTGCAAAGACTATAAAATGAGAAAAAGAAAGAAAGCAATGACATAGGACAGCGGATACTTCTGGGTCTTAGGACCTGTAATCAATTCCTGGCACATCAACTTGTCAGCTGTACAACCTTGGTCAGCTGTTTGCTGAAGTCTCAGTTTCCTCACTAGCAAGCTGGGAACTGTTAATCCCACCTTGGGGAAGGAAGTGAGGCTATGTATGTGAAGTGTTTAGAAATGGTTTCTGCTATGTTAAAAAGCAAAGTGAGAACAAATACCAGCAGAACCAAAGATCCAGTTCTACTTTTTATACTCCATGATCTTGCCACTTGAGACACCACTTGAGAGCTAAGAGACCCTGGAAAACAGTTTCCTAGTCTCTGTTGCCAAGTGGTCATGTGCTGCGTATGGGGTTAATTCATTGGTGAAGGCAAAGAAGACATTATCTTATTTTTCACTCTTCACTTTGGTAACGTTTTGTATGGAGAAGTAGAAAGATCCTGAAACTTTTGGAACTGAAATATCTGGGCTTTAATCCAAAGTCTCCTAGTCTGGGATTTTGCATGTAACCTAAGATGTTTCCTCTTTATGGTTTAGGGCTATTGTAATCATTAGATATGAGAATGGGTGTGAAATGCTCGCCTCATACTTCAGTCATGTTGAATTGAGGATTAGCAGAACAAACTGGTGCCACAGACAGAGCAGCTAAGCCGCATAGGTTTGGATGCCAGCTACGCAGCAGTGAGCTTTTCCTTCCCATCTTTATAGTGAGATAGTGAGATACTCAGGACCCAAATGTGGGGTGGACTCTGATAGAAATGGTTTTCATTAAAATGGTAGTAGTTCTCATTCTTACTCACCTAGAGGAAATTAGTTAGAACTACAGAATACAAGAGAAGTGTAAAACATGAGGGAGGTAAAAGAAAGACTAGACTACTAGAAGTAAGGGGAGAGTAGCCAGCCAGAGAAAGAAGGCCGAGGCAGGAATGTGGCTCCTCTCTGTCCCGTTCAAGGTTTGGTTCCTCAGAATTGCACAGATTTTGTATTTGATAACCAAGTCACTTCTGGACCTGCAAAAGTGCAGTCTGATTCTGTTCTGTCTACCCTAGTAGGGAGAGTTTGTAACCCGAACCCTCTGCTCTCTAGAAAACTTACTAGAAACTCTCACTATGCCATTGCCTAGACCTGTGACAATTCACTATATCTTTTGGGCCCTTGGTCTCTAAAATTCTGTAGTTTATGAACAGTATAATTATAAATTATCAGCTTGGCTTTTTGCTTTTACTATGACTTTCTAACAATAGCATTTTAAAGGAAAATATTGATTTTCCTTGTTTCAGATGCATATATAATACTCATCAAGTGATAGTGAACTATATTCTCAGAGATATATTTAAATAAGCAGAAGGGCGAAGTTAAGAAGTTTTTAGTGACTAAAAGGTTTGGAAGTGAACGTTGATATCACTGCTGGAAAATGATCTTGAACTAATGTCAAATTCCTTTTTTCTTTTTTTGCTGCTGTGTATCAACTTTTTTTTTTTATTCATTAAGTTTATTGGTACATTTTAGGTATATGGTATGATGACGTTCATCATTGGGAATTTGTGCCTTTACATGATACAAAGTCTCATTTTTAACTTGTGTAGTGACCTGATTTTATATATTTAAATTAGTTTGGTGGACCAAACAAAATATAGATTGTAAGCCAAATAGAAGAGAATTAAATAGAGAGTAGGGAGAAGTTCAAATGCTTCCCCATATTATATGTTCTCTTGTTTTAAAAGTATTTCAATATATATGCTAATTTGTTTTATTTATACGATAGTTGACATTAGTTTGTTGAGAAAAAAGTTTGTGCTGTTTGTTTAATTTTTGTAAGAATCTTTGGGTTTATGTCTTGTACTGAGTAACTACTTTAAAGATAATAATATACAATGTAATAATCATTGTTTTTATCTTATTGTTTGATTATGAACATTTGTTTTATTTTTTCATAAATTAAGAAAACATTAAAAATGAACACGTATTAAATTTTATGATTTGCATAAAAAGGATTTTCTCCAAATTGTCTTGTTTGTAAGATTTCCTTTAAAAACCCTGTAATTCTTCAATAAAGAGAAAGCGTTTCTGCTTCAGACTAATATGTGGGAGCTCATATAACCACAGACGTGGGGATACCAACTGGGAAATACATGTGGACTCCAGGAAAAAACACTATTTAATGCACTTTGTCCTTCCTGTCTCCAAGGAAAGTTAAAGTAATAATAGATGATTAATTAAAATTACTGAAAACTTCTTCATAGTTCAAGGAAACTAATAAATTCTATTTCTTTCCACAGTCTTCATGAATGCAGCAATTCCCATAGCAGCTGTTCTTGCTGTAAGATGCTCTTTTTTTGCTTTTAGAAATGGAAGCAAGTCAGTATGTATAAATGATTTATGAAAAAGAACATGTGGGTGGTAATATATATTGTTTCATTTCTGTTGTTCCTTCTTGGCAGTTTCCATTGCAATTTCTCTAGACCAGCATTTCTCATTCGTGACACTATGAACACCTTGGCCAGATCATTTTTTATCATCACGGGGTGTCCTAGCATTAGGATATTTTCCAGCCTTCATGGCCTCTACCTACTCCAAGTCATGACAATGAAAAATGTCCTCAAACACTGGCAAATGCACCCTGGGAGAAAGACTAAGAATAGTTGAGAATTAACTGTTTTAATCTCAATGACCTGTTTCCCATACATTTTTACAGCATGGTGTTAGATCAACAACTAGAAAATGGTAAATAATTAGGTTGTATTCTGCACTAAAATGACAAGCCCAGCCACTGCCATTATTTTTAGAAATGTGAATAAGTCTTCATATTTCTGCGTGCAGGTTAGTAATCTACACTAGGGACACTTAAATAACAGAACATTCTCTTTTCTCTTACAATATTAAAATATTGTTGATTGCAAAGGCCTGACTGGCTGTTAAGAACTGTGAGCTCTCCATCTAGTTATTTCCCCACTTAGTAATTTGACAGAAGTCAGTTTCTTATTCGGTATATAGAGTTTGTCCTCACTTTCTTATCAGTTTACTACTAGGAAGACTTGTCCAGCATTAAGAATGCACCAATAGTAAGCATTGCTTTAGGTAAGGAATTTTGGATAAAAGAGTTGTTTCCATGGTTGCAATGCACCTGTTGGCACAAAGGAAGGTGCTAGGTTAAGTTTGTGAAAATGAATGTAGAGATTTTCTCTGGCTTTCTCTAAAGCAGTCTTTTCTCCCCACAGACATTTGTGACCCATGCTTATGCCAGCGGCCACCACCTCAAGCCTGCAGAGGCCTTTGCCTCCCTGTCTCTGTTCCACATCCTTGTCACCCCACTGTTCCTGCTCTCCACAGTGGTCAGGTTTGCGGTCAAAGCCATCGTAAGGTATGCACTGAAACCTCTGGGGTGCTTTCTTACTGATGGTAGAAATAATACGTGTGTCCTAAAGGTACATTTGAAAAAGTATAAAAAAGAGCATTCAAATCACTATCCAGAGCTGACCATTGTTAAAATTTTGGTATATGAACTTTCAGACCTTTATTTCATATAAAGATAACTACTGTAAAATAAAAATGTTGAATTTATGTAGTTTTTGACTCTTTATTTCACTTCTTGTTTTCATTATTTTCTCCTCATTTCTAGCAATGTGGTAGTCCATTGTTTGGAATATATTAATTTATATTGGCCTTTTTATTGGACATTCAGAATGTTTCTGCTTAATATATGTAACAATGAAGTAAATATCTTTGTTTATCTTGCTCTTTTCTCTGATGGTTACCTTAAGTCCAATTGCTAGAAGTTATGATACTAGTTTTAGCAGTACACACTCCTTTAAGGTCCTTGAAGAATATAGCGATGTTACTTTCCATTGAAATGGTACAAAGTCAAACAGTACCTATATATTTGAGATTATTTATGATATGGACATAATGGTTTCTGTTGAAACCTTGCCAATTTATATGTGCATCATCAGTGACAGAAAATCTTTATACCAATGCATAAATTCTGTTTTAAATTTAGTTTAACATGGAATAAAAGAAATAATATTTAAACTTATAGTCTCTGAAAATGGAAAGGCTTGCAAAAAATTTCTAGTATTTTGCACATTTAAATGTGCTTTCATAGTGTTTCCAATCAGTGTAGACTTTGTTTCATTTAAAATTCTGCGTATTATACAGCTATGTAATAGATGTGGTGTTATAATGGCCCCTTTGTCATCATTTTTATTTGTATTATATAAATATGTTACCAAACCACATCTACTACATTGTGTGTACCCTGGTCTACCAGTGTCTTAGAATCTATTGAAAACAAAGAGGCCTTAAAGTACTATTTTGCTTTTGGCCATAGGATCTTTACAAACCTTATAAAACCTCAGTATGTTTCCTGAACATTCATCATCATTTATATCTGACCTTTTAAAGAAATGCCTAAATATTGCAGCACCAAAGGAAAATCGGAGAACCCATGCCTTAAATATGTGAAATATGATGTTGCTATTGACAGCAATCTAGAATCTCTGTAGTAATGTCTTAATTAAAATGACATAATTTTTCCAGTATCTATTCATTAACACAAAAACCAGTATTTAATGCTCAAAACACCAGACTCTCCAGTTTTAGTTAACAGTTCACATTGACTGACCAATGGCTCAATGCCAGCTAAAATTAAAATGCATAAACGCTATCCTGTTGTGAATGAAGCTCTGCTAGGCTTTGTTGGTGTCATAACATAGCTTCCATCCTGTTCTCTCAGTGAGCTCATTAGTAGCATTTCGGAAGCTTGTTTCAGTTGAAAGCCCAGGCCCTCTGGCCTCATCTGCCCTGTTTTCTTTTCTTATTGTTCTGCCTTCTGAAGCCCTTGCACTGATCATGGACTGCACTGTGTAGCACCATTTCCAAATTAGGCAGTGCTCTGGAAGGGACGATACTTCAAACAATAAACGTGATAAATGGCCAGAGTCTGCTATTTTGGTCCTTATTTTCATTTTCCCCATTTAACAGCTATCCCTTTCATGGTTGCGCTATTAATCGGAATGTGATTTTGCACTGCAAATGGAGATAAAAAGCAGTTGATAGCTTTTAACAAATAATTCCTCTGAAACCAGGAGGTTACCACACATCAAAAGAACTTTCAGTGGGTTTGGAAAAAGATACAATCTAGGGGTTTCCCCGAATCCATAGGACATGGTTCTGCTGTAGTGAATCCTAGTGTAGCTGTGTGTTTCTGCACAGCGCTCTCCCTGCTGTGCATTTCAGGGAAAAGGTATTTCCCAGTTTGATAAAGACCAGTCTGTTCTTAGGGCTCAGTTCCAGGTTTTCCAAGCCATAGACCAAGTGGAATCTGCTTATAAAAGCTTGCTTCTCCAAAATGAATTGCAGCGGTTGATTTGCGGGTCCTACAGAGATGGCTGATGAACAGAGAAAGCCAATCATTTTCCCCACTGTGTGCCGGTTCTGGGAACCCAAGTAAGCATTTTCCCAGCCTAACTGGGCTGGACATTTTCTTTCGTGCCTGGGAAGCTGTGACCAGTCTTTGGTGCCAGTTGGCCCACAGTGAGTCAAGTGGCTTGTTTATAATCGGAGGCTTTGGTCAGCTGATTTTGAGATCTCCTTTTCAAGACTGTGGAAGTCTTAAGTTCTTCACTGCATTCTTAAAGGCGTTCAGGAATTTAGTGGGTTAGATTGGGCTGAAGCATATTCCCAAATGTGTGTCATGCATGCGTCTAGGGAACTTGGAATGTTCCCTTCTGGAGGAAACCTCTGTGCCATGTAAAATCCTCTGCTCCAGGAAAATGCTATGCTTTCTTTAGAAAAGGTTCAGATTGTTATCTAAAGTTGTCTTCGTGGCATTCATTGGATGGGACATATGTATGTATATGTGTGTATATACATGGTATGTATGTACAATATGTCACGTGTAGTATATAATGTATAATATATGTAGTATCTCTCATATATAATATATTGCATGTAATACATAAAATGTAATATATAATAAAATATACACAAGATATTAAATAATAAAGACATATAAAACAATATATTGAATACGAATATAGAAAAATAAATATATAAAAATAATAAACACCTATTTAAAATATCCCCTGTATATTTTGTTATATATTCCTATTCAGTGAATGCCACAAAGAACCTGAGTCATCTTTGCTCTGTCTTCCAAACCTGAATTATACTGGATTCTTATCTCCTCATGATCCATGGCTCCCCACACCATTTGAACTTTCTGGCCATTGTATGATGAAGTATTGTTGTCCATATTTGCAAGAAAGAGAGAAGAAAATTCACTGTTAAAAATTTAAGTACTTGAATAAGAGTTGGTTTTTTTTAAGGATTATTACCTTCTCCACTTTGCTTTATTAGGAAATAATTTATCTGTTTTGCTTTCCTGGAAGAAAAGATATTGTATTTCTTATAAATAATTTGAGTATAGGTATCTGGTATTTGGTGTATAATGTAGTATCTGTGTCCAAAGAAGTTATTTGTCAAAGGAAAAAAAAATAAATCCTTCATTTTGTTGGGAAATAACCTTGTGTCCTTGCTCTCACGTAACTCCCAAGAGATCTGTGTTTGTCTAACCTGCTGCATTACCTTCAGGAGATACATTGTTACTGAAACATCACACAGCATACTTACATTTTGGTCTGGTCTCTGTATTTTAGTCTACAAAATTCATAATTCTTATATATATAATATATATTATATATATATTATATATATATACAATTGCAGCCTAGACTACATTGTGAGACCTTGTCTCTCTAACAACAAAATCAGTGATTCCCAATTAATACAGCACTTGTTCTATGTACTCACACACGTGGAGTGTGTTAAATGCACAGTAAAATTTAACAAGTCAGAAAGTGGCATGTATAAATACTGAAATCTTTGATAATAATCTAAACAAATGAGAAATTAGTAAAATACTGAACGGTACAGGGGATGGAGGCAGGATAGCAAATTGACTAGTGTCGAATACACCTGTTGGCAAATTCCGGCCATAGGGTAATCATGGTTCAACCTCAAGCATGTTTTTGGGGTCTCAGCATCTTCACTTATCAAGTGAGCCCAATCATAGCACTTGCTAATGGCGGTTGAGAAAATTGAACAAGAAAATACATAAAAGTATCCAGAATATTACCTAGATATTTTAGGTATTTTACAAATTTCTATTTTGCTAATTTACAAGCCTTTTGCTCACTTCCATTCCATTCTTTTGAGCATCTTCTGTGGGTCTTTCTTTTTCTTTTTCTTTTTTTGTTGGTACTGGGGATCAAACTGGGGACCTTGTACTTTGAAGGCAGGTGGCGGAACCACTGAGCTAAATCCCCAGCCCCTCTGTGTTCATTTCTATTGCTTCAGATACATTACTAGGCACTAGTAATGGAAAAGATGAGAGATCGAAATGCGTAAAGAGCCCACAGTCTTGTTGAAGAGACCAGGAAAGGCAGCTAGTTCCAATATGTTGTTATAAAGCTATATAATAGGCCGGCTGAGCATAGTGATGCATCCCTGAAATCCCGGCACTCAAGTCTGAGGCAAGAGGATCACCATGAATTCGAGGGCAGCCTGGGCTACATAGTGAGATAGTGTCTCAAACCAACCAACCAATCAACAAACAAAAGATATAAAGCTATACAACAGAATGCCATGGGCCCATATATATGAAGGTAAAGGAGGTGGTCGCTCTTTCCTAGACTTGCAAAGAATAAGTAAGACTGGGTCAGTTGGAGGGAAAAGGAAAAACATATTTTATCAGAGAGAGCAAAAAAGCAAGGGGAAGGGATGAGTAAGGTAAGGAGGTGAGAAGTCTTGGTATATTAAAGGGATTAAAAGTGGTTCCGTATCGGTGAGAAAAAAAGATTATGAAATGGAAAGTACTAGGGAATAAAGTTGGAATGTAAAATACCGGTCAGCTTTTAGATGATAAAAGATGCTGAAAGGCAAAGATGCTATTTGTTATTTTAAGAACAAGATTGTTCCATGAATATATTTGCATTTTAAAATTGTAACCTTGGCAAAGTGGTGGAAATTATTGCACCCGTGGTCAGGATTTGTGGATTTTCCATAATTGCTTTGCCTCTGTGATTCCTGAAAGGAGCTCATATGAACAGGAAATGCTTTTTGTATTACCCAGTTATTCACTCATCAGACATTTCTAGAGGAATTACTATGCTTTAGATATTGGACTAGATTCTGAAAACGAAAATCTTTGCTCTTGAGTTCATAGTGTAACGTAAAAGATAGTATCTAACAGTTAACAAAGCAATGACAACATAGGAGTGTGAAGGAATCTTTAGCCAATGAGTCTTAGGAAGAGGAGAGGAGAGGTTTAGAAAAGGGCTGATATTGGAGGTCCGTTTGTATTCATCGTAACTGAAGTTCCAAAAGGGGTGTTACCTTTTAGCTACTTTTGGGGTAGCTCTCTCTACTCTCAGTTAACCTGGAGGATCATTGCTTTCTGATGTTTGGCAAGATTGGCTCTCATTTATTCCATAAAAACTTCAGTAAGAGATGTGTGTGTACTAGGACAGTGAAATGAAGAATTTAATCAACCAACTTTAATGTCTGAATCATTAGTTTATTTCTTTGATTCATTAAACAAGCATTCACAGGGCAGCCTGTGCCTGGCGCTGAGGGACTTGAAGCTGCAAAGGCAGATGAGGTTGGTCACAGTATGTGCCATGGCCTAGTGCGAGGTTGTTAAAAGGTATGCCTTTCATTGACAAAGCTGTGCTCCTTGAAACCACAACCCCTCAAAACGTAAGAACAGAATAAGCAGTATGGTCTGTGAAAATAAAAAAGGAGTATCTGCTCTTTAAGGCCAATAAAATGGCATTTCATAAGGCACTTCTATTGCTGTGTCTTTGAAATCTTTATGGTCAGACTTAGCTGACAAAGACTAACAGAGCTCTTCTACAAATCAAAGCTCCTCTTAAACAATTCCCTCCTTTAGCTGCCTGGAAGAGCACTTTAGAAGCTAATTGTTAGACTGCTCCAGTGCGTGTTATCTACCTTTGTGTTCTGATGGCCCACAGAGCCAAAGCTCTAAAGATCCTGAGCAACAGATTGAATTAAATTTATTTTATTAGCATGTTACCACTATACCATCCTGCTTAAGCACTATACATTGCACACATTTTCTGAACTTGGAAACGAGAGGATTTCTAGACTCTTGTTACTAAAAGTATTGGCTAAAGTCCAGCCCCAGGAGCACCTGCAAGCTTATTAGAAAAAGAGAAGTTCAAACCACACTAGGACCTATAAATAAAAATACGCATTTTAACAATATTCAGAAGTGCTTCATGAACATGTGATAGTTTCTAAGGCTCTACTCTGGAAGAATGGTTTGTAAACATTCTTTACTATGGTCTCCTTGGGCCAGGCCAAGACTCTGGCCCATTTCTCTCAACCTAATTTTCTCAAACAGTTACCATAGGATGAGGAGCAAAAATAAGTGTAAAAAAAAAAAAATCAATAATATGGTCATCCTCCTATCAGTAAAATCATACACTAAAAACAATTTTTTAGAAAAACCTCAGGAAAACCACAACAGTGATCATCCTAAACTCAGTGTAAATTCCTTTGCATTTTTTTGCAATTATATTCCTTGTCAAAGATGGCAGAGTTGGAGAAAAGCTTAGAATAGAATGGTTATAAATAATACCAATGAGAGATATTTTTATAATTTTTTAGAGGGGAATTGAAGTGTAGGTAAATAATATGTCTAAAATAATTTTATCATGGAAGATATATAGATAAGGAACTCTCAGAAGCAGCCTGCTCACCATGATACCTAGTGGGGGGAAGGTTTGCTTGTATAAGTAGAATTTTTGTTGGTGGCAATTCTATTGCGGATCCTTATTCTGTATTTGTGTCTTTGTGTTGTGCAGCGTTCAAAAGCTGAATGAGTTTCTCCTGAGTGACGAGATAGGTGATGACAGCTGGCGGACTGGTGACGGTTCTCTTCCTTTCGAGTCATGTAAGAAACACTCAGGAGTTGTAAGTGAATTTCTTGCTATGAAATCTGGAAGGGGTCAGTCTCAACAGGATGGGTGACTTGATATGGCCACAATCAGAAGAAATCATCAGCTTTATCTTTTAATCTATTCAAGGAGAAATTGTCACCTGCTCCTATAAAAGTCTAAGACCAACAAACAAATATATAAGACTTGTTTTTATAAATCATGAAAGAATTAGCCCCAAAGGGACAATACATATTTAATTTAAAAGGTGATTCAGAGTTTATATACTCCAAGCTTTTTATAAAAATACTGTAAGTCCACTACTACTGTACCATGCTCTTATGTCTTTTATATTATGCCTTTTTTAGTTTAAAGCATGTTTTCTAATGGATTATGTATTTTGATCCATTTAATATAATACTTTGTTCTTATTTTCAGCTGAACATGTTGAGTTTGCTGCTTGAGCAGCTTGAACAAAGTTGTAAGATCAGTAAGGGGCAAAGCCAGAATTAAAACCCACCTGGTAACTTGTAGACCAGTCAGTTCATTCACCCCGACACAAATATTTCCTCAGTATCTACATGAAGTCGGGAAAGAATCAATATTATATTGACATGTTATATAAATATACCCGATGTTTCAGGCTTATTGTATTTTGTGCCACAACCTAGGGATAGAGCTATGGACAAGGCACATGAAAATTTTCATGTCACAGACTACATGAAGTCGGGAAAGAATCAATATTATATTGACATGTTATATAAATATACCCGATGTTTCAGGCTTATTGTATTTTGTGCCACAACCTAGGGATAGAGCTATGGACAAGGCACATGAAAATTTTCATGTCACAGACTACTTTCTTGAGGCAGGAGTCAAGTGATACACAAAAGAATAAGATAATTCCACTGTGTGAAAAAAAATAAGGAGGATATTAGAGAGGGAATGTGACACTCGAAGCAGGGTAGATATTTGCAAGAAGACCCCTCTGGACAGCCAGCATTTAGCTGAGACCTGAATGAAGACTAGATGTTTGCCCTGGAAAGGTACAATGTGAATAAGAAAAAGCATTCTTGTCAGGAGGGTTAGCAAATGCAGAGAACTTGAAGTAGGAATTAATTTGGTTTACTCAAGGAACAAAAGGGGCAGAATTGTGAAGAAAGGAAACAGGAGACAAGGTAATAACAATGATTCAGGGGCTTGAAGACCATGGAAAGAGTTCGAATTATATTGACATGCGAAAAGAAGTCATTGGAGTGTTACAGTGGTATAATTTTGTTAATTTTTTAAAAAGATCACAGTGGTTACTGTATGGAGAGATGAATGGGGACAAAGAGTGGGACAGGTAGGTCGGTGAAGAAGTTATTATAATAACATGGGGCAAGAGATGATGATGGTTAGAGTTAGATTTTTGTTGTGCGCTGGACATTGTGAAGAAGCGATCAGATTCAATGTATTATGTTGAGCTAAGAAAGACTCGCTGAAATATTGGTTGGAGGAGGAAATGAGGAAGGGAGAGGACTCAAGGATGGACCCTAGGATATTGGCTTGACTGCTGGTAGACAGCGGAGCCATTAATTGAAGTAATTGAAGTTGGTGTTGAAGTGGAATCAAAAGGTATATTTTGCCTATGATGATTTTTGAGATACTTATGAAGAGATGTTAGCATTGGAATGTAAATTTATGAGTCATCAGCCTTTAGGTAATATTTAAGTCAATGGGACTCAATATACCACTTTTTAAAAGGGTGTATCTGAGGGAAATTTTGAAAAGTAATATGTATTTCATAACAGTAAAGTAGAAATATGCTAATCCAACATGAATCCAAGAAGTTATTATTAGTTATTCATGTAAGGATTGGAAAATTTTGAGCATATTTGCCCTGTAAGTGACCCAATAAAAGTGCTCATGCCATCTTCTGACAGAGTTCAGCAGAACTTGGAGAGCTTTGGCAAGGAAGTCAATATATAATAAATTTTTCTTCACATTATGGTTAAAGCTTCTAAAAATAGTTCAGATGAACACTTGGCTATATTTAGAGTTACCATTTTCTTTTGCTTTTCTGGAGTTTTTTTAAAAAAACTTTCTTTTAAATTGTTTCATTGATCAGCTGTGCTTCGTCTGAGAAGGTGCTACCATCTGTTTGTCTACACCACGGTTAACCATGCCTCAGAATGCTTGCTTGCACTGTATGGGCACAGACATAGTACAGAAATGAATGCTTAAAACATGTCTACACTTTTAGGCAGTGGGAAGTCAAATCTTTTAATTAGAAGTGCCCTCAAATGTTTTGCTTGATCTTAGTCTACCAAAGAGCTCACTAGATCATCTTTCAGAGGTATGAGGGTGAGCGGAGAGGGATGACCTCCAGGAAGAAGAGTTAGGGGAATCTGAATGACTTTTTGTATGAGGTGAGGGATAGAAGAAATACTGAACTGAGAAAAGGCTTTTGGAAGAAAAGAGAATCCCCTTCAGAGGCATCCAATATCTTCAGGGTTATTGAAACCAGACTGGACTTCTGATGTCTTTCGGGGTCATTCATCACTGCTGATGGGCCAAACCACAAATGACAAGCTTTTTTAAAATGGAGTGAAAAAAGCTGTGTGTTTGAAAATAGCACTAATGGAAACTGTTTCTTGAGAGTGCGTAAGATGCTATGTATTCTGTAAAAGCTTAGAGTTAAGTGGTTTTGGCTGTAGAATCTCCATGGAGAATTAGTGACATCCTAGACCCAAAGTCTCTTCAAATTACATCTGTGCAACTCAACTCAAATCTCTGTCAACACATCTCCTCTTCCCACCCTCTCCTCAGTTTTGTGATGAGCATGAAGTCATTCCTTTTGGACCTCTGGGGGCAATACTATTATAACATTAAAGGCTCTAAGAAGACAGTGAAGCTATATAGGTGTAGGCTTGTTTGGGGTGGGAAATATGGTAAAGAATATTCTTAAATATACTCATCCTGACTAACAGTGGCTTTCTGCAACATCTCATGCAGTACACTTCTGGGGCTATCTGTCAGGCCTACAGGAATAAAAAGCAAAACTAAAATAAAAATTTGAACACGCACTCACATTCTCTCTCTTTTTTCAGTTAAAATGTTCTTAGTATTTTCTGTGTGACATAACCATTGATAGAGCTTTTGATTTTCTCAGTGGCTTTTTAATCTGTGTTATTTATCCGCATGAAGCCCAGAATTGTACCATTTGATAGTTTGATGTTCTGCTGAGACAACAATTGATGGAAATTGGAAAAACAATATCTTGTTTGGATTAAATTACTGATTATTTGAAGACATTCCTAATTCCCATAGTAGAACTCAGTGGATTTTTCTAAAAGTTTAAACCTGCAATTCTTGGCCAGAAAATTTTTTTTTAAAGTTTCACAATTCTAGAGTCTTTTGCTCTTCTAGGTAATTTAACATTATTGAAGTATTACAATTTAGCTTTAATAACCTCTATAAGATATTTAAATAAGGCAGATAATTATTTATGTTGAAATATTTGCTTGCTAGGTTCCTGGAACAAATTTTCAACTTTCAGATTCTTCCAAATGGGAAATTTACAGGGCTAAATTTTCTATCTTCTCTTTAGAATTCTTTCTCTCTATATATAAGAAATTAAACTCAAAATTAGAGAATGACAATTTTCTACTTATGACCAAATTTAAGTTTACTAAATTATAGGAAGACTGTCTCAGCATAGCTGGCTTCATCTATCTAATAGATGCTTTAGTCAGTTAATTAGGAATAGCACTGTAACATTTGAGATAGCCTAGATCATCCTATAGTATTTTATGGATCTCCTTATGAAACACTATACATCTTTGTTCAAAAATCCAAACCGTTTGCCAATCCACAGTAGATCCTTGGGGGATGCATAGCTCAGTCTGATTTTATATAAGTATATCAGATTCAAAATCCTCATGATTCCAAGGATGATCAATAATATACTGGTGGAATGTATATAAGCCCGGTGGATCTGACAAATGGAATTAATTTAATTGAGTTAGTCTGATCACTCTTTGATAGGACACAGCATTTTATATTCCCTAGATATATTCATCCATATAGCTGGAGAAAAATATATAATACCTAGTTTGGAACCCAGTACTTGAACTTCCATCATTTGCAAGTATTACATATTCATGTTTTCATTTTTCCATAAGAGGCTGGTAAATTAGGTTCAAAATTAGAACTCAGGATTTTTTTATTATTTGCTTTATTGGAAAAGCCATTGAAAATATTGAAATATGACATTCACTTTACTTCTTTTTCTTTGAATTTAAGTGAAGTAGCAATGTGAGTTAATGTTTAGTATAATCTTAAAGTTTTTTTCATAAAGCTTCAACTTGTGTTGTTTTCCATTTGGAATGCTGCAGCCAAAAACTATAAACAGGAAACAGCCTGGAAGATACCACCTGGACAGCTATGAACAATCAACACGACGTCTTCGTCCCACAGAGACAGAAGATATTGCAATAAAGGTTATTTTATTTTCTAGATTCTTACATGAATAGAAACACATCACTCTTTGTACCAGTGAGCTATCTCATTGCTGGGAAAAAGTACCTGATGTCCACAAGTTAAAGGAGGAGAAGTTCGGTTCATGGTTACAGAGGGTCCTGTCCATGGTGAACTAGCTCCAGAGCAAACTCATCATGGCAGAAGGGTCTGGTAGAGCAAAGCTGCTCACTCCATGGCTTTGGGAAGCCAAGCACAGGGGACGTGTGTCAGAAAGGAAGGGGCCGGGAGCCACATACAGTACCCAAGGTCATGTCCCATGACCCACCAGGACACACCCCAAAATATGCTTTACTAATTCCCTAGGCATATCTCAAGCCAATTAAGTTAACAATCATGATTAACAATCATACTGCAAGTGTCTAAATTGTGTTTTAAAAGTCTCCTTACAGTGGTCATAATCTTCACAGCATTTAACAAATATTCTGATGAAGTCATCATTCCCAATCCCTCCCCACCTTTCGATCGCCAGTACATTATTCTAATTAGAGAAGAAGCCTTTCTTTTAAACCCTTGTTAGAAGCTAGTATCCAAGCTGCTTCCTCTTATTACTCTTGTGTAAATGGATTAATAGAGAACTCCAATATTACAAATCCAATTTTTAAGGAAGAAAATTAGATAGAATTTTTTGCCAACCGGAAAGGCTGAGGCCAATGTTGTATTTTCCAGGCAGCTTCCCAGTTCTCCACACTGCCTTTGTTCTTATCTCACACTTGACCTTTTGTGTCCCCAGGCTTTTGTGCTTAGGTAGAACTTGGGTAGAACAAGCACCCACAGGAACATAGCTGGGGACTGATGGTTGCGACCCTGAGCCGTGGTTTGCCCACCTTCACATGCCATTTAAAGATGGTTGTTTTGAGGATAAAATGATATCTCACATGCAAATCTTACCGAGAGTTCTTGTGATTCTCAGCTCCAGCCACCCATGAGAGTTGCCCAGAAAGCTTTTAAAATATAGGTAGGAGACCTGGGCATCATTTAAAAAATGTGTGTGGCTCTTTCCTAGGCAGTTATAATGTTCAGGCAGGATGTGAGTTTCTGGGCTACGAAAAGGTTAAGAATGAGATTCTAGAAAGAAGCCACTATACTGTTGTCCCCAAAACACACCAGGATAACAACTAAATAGTAGGGACTGGGCAAAAGGGCTAGTTTTGTTGTTGTTTTTTTTTATACTGGGTATCGAACTCAGGACCTTGTGCTTGTGAGGCAGGCAGCAGCACCACTGAGCTAAATCCGCAGCCTGAAAAGGGCTACTTTTTAAAAATTTTTACTTGTAATTTTTGGTTTAATACAATGTGAATCTAAAAGCATGTTTCTTTTCCACATGTCTTTTTGTTTTTATTTTGAAGATTAAAAAAAAGAGCCTGTGGTGGTTTTTAATTTTTTCAAAATTGACCCTTTTACACACCAAAAAAGAAAAACAAGTCTGAAAATAAAAACCTGTTTACCTATGCCCCAGAAGTTACTATGCCTCTGAATAGCGACCGTCATTTCAGGCTCACCTGCAAGCCTGAATATTTTATTTATGCTGAAAGTTCTCAAGGTAGTAAGAACTTACTATCTTTTAAAAATATGTTTTATTGTGAAATACAGAATACAGGAGAAAAGTACATATTTATATTGCCAGCTTCCCCAGAAATCCCCAGAACATACAGCTTCTCTTGCCTCTTTCTGGACATGTATTTGCCACCTTGACTTCTATATTTTCTTGATTATCTTTGTTATGCATGCCTCCCTTCCCACCAAAAAAACCCATCATATTTTTTAGTTTTTTTGTAAAGTTTGAATAGGTGTGCATGTGTACATTTTGCTCTTTGGGGCCAACTATTACACGTGTCTAATTCATCTGTGTTGCTGTAGGAGCCTGTAATTCATTGATTTGCACTGCTGCATGATGTCCCATTTTATAAATATACCAGAATTTAGTCATCTACTCTACTCTTCATGGTGTTGGGGTATTTTTCAGTTTGGATCCATTGTAAATAGTTACTGAGTTGTAGGGTACAGACATCCCCAGCTTTCCTGGAGAAGGGAAAACTATTTTCCAAAGTGATAAAGCCAGTTTATACCTCTGCCACTAGTGATTTTCCCTGTATCCCTGATCCTCATTTGTGTCTACGCCCCCCTGTCCCCTCCTGCCCTCCCAGCCTTTATGGCACCAGCTCTTTCATGCATAAGATATATGTTTAAACACGCTTATGTCCTTGTAAGCTTTCAATTTTATTAAATGTTTCTCTGCTGGTTTGTTCCTTGTAACTGAACCACTGAGTTGTGTACTATGCATCACTGCATTTTACTTATCGCTGTTGATGGACACCCCTGCCTGGGGTTGAGGGTTTTTAAAATTGTCATTAGTCTATGTTTGCAGTGCCTAATGATTGTATTCATCGCGGGGAGTTAGTACCTGTGCATGACACATCTTGATTCTTGTCATGTCCCATTCCCATCTCCCGTCTTCCCCCTCCCTCGGAGAGCTGGAACTGAGCTCTAAACTTACTTCTGTCTTCCCTCTGTCACCAGTTATTGTGATGGTGATTATTGTGCCATCCTTATATGAACCTGTGAAAAGATTTATTTATATATTAGCTGGGTTCCCAACATCAAAAAAAGTAGTCATGAAGCCAAGTAGTCACGGACCCCTGCTGGTGGAAAATGATTGTATTTTGTATAAGGCAGAGGGAATGGAAGTGGAAATTGTAGAAGATATTTATGTTAGTCTTCTTCCTCTTTTTGGAGTGGAGATTTTTTCCCTCTTTCACTTCTGTCTGGCACCAGCTCATGAAGTAACACCACATTCTTCTAGTTCTTTCCTGCTGCTTTCAGATCATATCTTTCTCATAGTCTGGTGAAGCTGTGGCATTTCTACATCTTCTCACATCTATGATCAGAGGACCCATGAAGCGAAGAGTTAGTATCTGTTTGCTAGTCCATCCTGCCTTTGCATGTGACACACATTGATGTGATTTAAATTGCCAAGTTCACAGTCTGTCTTATGTTTCAGCCCAGAGTTCCTTGATCTAGTCTCACTACATTTGCACAACCTCTTGGATGTCCACACTTGGTCACCACCTGGAACTGTGCCCCTCCGAAATCATACTCTCTTATCCCAATCAGTCACTGACAGAAGCCCAACCCCCAAGCTTTCTTGGGCATTCACCTTCTTGGCTATTATTTTATAACCTCATTGAAACCTCCAGTATCTCCAGCTCCTTCCCCCCACCCCGAGTTCTTTAGTACCTTTCTGTAGCAAATGAACCTCATGCCTTCAACATGCCAACACCCAGGCTGCCGAGTACTACGTAGTATGGTGCGGCCACAGATTGACTGTCTTGGACTTCGCTGACCCTTAGGAGTCCTTAGCGATCCTTTCACATGCCTCTCATCAGAGTGACCTTCCAAGCCTAGAGTAGACACTCAGCTGTCACCACTGTCCTCCCACCTCCTGATATCTCTTTCTGAGCTGCCTCTTTCTGCAGTTGACTTTAGCTTGCAATTCACCAAAGACATTAGCAGAGTCATGCAGGGCCCCTGTCAGCTTCCTGCTGGCTCTGCCAAACCCAGCTAGTTTTGCACCTCTCTTAGTCTCCTTGCCTTCTCTGAGAGAAGAAGGGATCCTCCATCTCAGAGGCTGTATACTTTCTTTGAGTGCCATTTGTCATTTAGCCACAGTATCTTCAACTCCTGCCCCAGCTGGCTCTCTTTCTTATTTCACACAACACATTTCACAGATTTCTGATCTTGGACCTATTCTCACTGTAGTTCTTTACCCAGAAATGCACTTACTTGTTGACATTCAGTATGTTTTCCAAAACTATCTAAAAGGCCTCTTCTTCCAGAAAGGTTTTGACTCATCTCAGACATATCTGATTTTCTTTTTTTTCCTGAACTGCTGTTAGTACTTGGCCCATGCTGTCTTTTATTTACCAGTCATGTGCCACTTAATGACAAGATAAGTTCTGAGACGTGCAGGCATTTGCCCTGACTACATCCCCAGTTCTTTCTTTTATTTTTAATTTTGAGACAGATTCGTGTTGAGTTGCTAAGTTGCCCAGGTTGAGCTTGAACTTGTAATACTCCTGCCCCAGACTCTCAAAGTTCTGGGATTACATACATACAGCGTCACACCTGGCTTAGGCAATGTAATCTTAAGGGACTGCCATCGTACCTGCAGCCTGTCATTAATAGAAACATTATGCAGAACATACTTTTTTTTGCGGTTTATTTACTTGACTGATTGCAAGTTCCATGGTGTCAGCGATGGCTCATAATAACTTCTTGGTAAGCTACCCCAGTCCAAACGAACACAGTGCTTCACCCAGTGCAGGTGCTTAGTCAGTAGTTGTAAAGCGATCAATAATTTTGCCTTTTCATGCCGTCCTCCCTCCCTGACTAATTTCGTGCAAAACTATGTGATGGATATTAAATGCTCTGGCTTACATTTCACAAGCTAGAGAAAACCTACAGGGAGAAACCCAATGTAGCCTTTTCAAGCGGAGGTTTTTACTCTTAAATTGGCTCATTCAGAGCTTTCTAGGGCTGTGTTTAGTTACAGTTTAGGTGATTCCAGTTCATTTTGTGAAATTGCTCAGTGATAATGTCCTCAAATATCTCATCGTCTGTGGCTTTGAAATAAAATACTGACTTAGGAGAGAGGTGTAGCTACAGTGTCCTCTGTTTTCTCAGGCACTGTCTTCTCCCTGATCTACTTCGTCCTCCTAATTCTTGGATGTGGGTATACCTCCTTTGATTTTACATTTTTGTAACTGTAAAATTCCTAAGTCCACTTGAAACTTGTTAAAACAAATAACCTGCTGGGGAGGAATACAGGGCTTTGTGATCATTGCTGATTGCTGACATTTATACCACCAAGGAAAGTTGCCTCATTTCTATGTTTATTTCCATTCTCCTTCACTCTTTCCTTTAACTTCAGAAAAATAGCCCTAAATCTACACAGTTCAGGAAACTCATTCATTATGGACCCTCCCTCAGCTAATAAAATCATTTTGTTGTAAGAATTTGTGATTATTTCTGTTCTTCATTTTGGTATTGCTAGGATTTCTGGGGATTGTCTACTAGTGAAAAAAATCAATGTAGAGACTTCTTTGGAAAATATTTGGAATGGTTACTTTTTAAAAATGCACACATGTACATGATCCAGTAATCCCAAATTTTCAAAGAAAATTGCTGTGATTTTTAGCATTCTTCATAATATCATTAATTGAAAGACTTCCCTTTTACCTCCTTTTTAGTTTTTAATTACCACTAAAAGTTCTAACTCAAAGTTAGAATTTTATTACTGCATATTCTACCTTGTCTTAAAAGTTTCAGTCTTTTAAAAAGAAAGTTTATTTTATTTGAGATTATTCTGTAGTACATATATAATTTAATTTCTGTATTCTTATTTTTTAGGTCACAAATGGATACTTTTCATGGGGCAGTGGTTTAGCTACACTATCCAATATCGACATCCGAATTCCTACAGGTAAGGGTTATTTGTTAAGCATTTTTATAATTGTTAATTATAACAACCACAGTTTTCCAAGACAACCAAGCTTAATTAAAAGAGAAAAACTTTTTAAAGGGATACCAATTAGTTATTATTATATATTTGCACCACTCTGCTAATGAGTGAATGTATCACTGTGATAATAATAAAACCTGTCCTTCAAACCAGGGTCTATACTTTTGGACAGGTTATGTTTTCTTGCTGAGTTTGGGCCATGTAAACAATAGAGTAATTGCTTTCTCATTTTGTTTGAGAAAAACTAAAGAAAGAGTGCATGAGAAAATGATCCTCTATGTCTGAAGAGAGTTGGTGAGGTTTTCAAGTTATTTAAGGCTCAGCTATCGAATAATTTTATCTATGCATCTATTTACATATTTATTTTTAAGTTTTTTTGAGACACAATGATCTACAAAATTGCATGCATTTAATGTTTGCATTTTGAAGAGTATAGACACATACATATGTTCATGATACTATCATCGCAACCAAGGAAATAAATACGTAGTAATGTCCAAAAATGTCTCTGGGCTCTGCTTTTTTTCTGGGAAGAACACTCAAAATCTGTTCCATTAAATTATCTTAAAGCCCATTCTACTGTATTAGTAATGATGGGTATTATGTTGAACAGCAGATGCCCAGAACTCTTTCATCTTACATAACTGAAATTTCATCCTCACTGAGCAATAATTGCTCTTTTCTCTGTTCTGTCCACACTGGCAACTGTTACTCTATTTTCTGCTTCTATGACTTTGACTATTTTCATACCTCATGTAAGTGGAAGCATGCAGTACTTGTCTTTCTGTTACTGGTGTATTTCACTTGGCACAATGTTCTCCAGGTCTATTTATGTTGTTGGAAATGGTAGGACTTTCTTTGTTTGAAAGTTGTATAATATTCCATTGCATGTGTTTTCCATATTGCATGCTTTCTTCAACCATTGGTGAATAGAAAAAGTTAATTTGCATCTTGGATGCTGTGTATAACACTACAATGAAATGGGACTGCAGATACATCCTTAAGATTGTAATTTTAATTATTTTCTATGGACATTCAGAAATGAGATTCTGGATCATGTGGTAGTTCTATTTTTAATTTTTCTGAAGAACCTGAATACATACTGTTTTCCATAGTGACTGCACAATTCTACATACCCAACAGTAGTGTATAACATTTCAGTTTATCCATATCCTTGCCAAAATTTTGTTATTTTTAAAAAAAATAATTACTATCTTAACAAATGTGAGGTGCTTTATCATTGTGGTTTTCATCAGCATTTCTCTGATAATTACCTTTGGTGAACACCGTTTTATACACCTGGTGACAATTTCTATGTCTTCTTTGAAGAAATAGCTATTTGGCTACTTTGTTCATTTTTCATTGGGTTATTTGTGGTTTATTTTGCTATTGGGTTGTAGAAGATTCTTATATATTTTTGATCCTAGCCTCTTATCAGATAGTTTGCAAATATCTTCTCCTATTCTGCCAGTTGCATTTTCCCTCTGTTGGTTGTTCTGTTTAATGTGCAGAAGGTTTCTATTTTGATGAGGTCATGCTTCTCTATTTTTTGTTTTGTTGCCTGTACTTTTGATATCAAATCCAAGAAATCATTGCTAAATTTGATATCAGGAGGTTTTCCCGCTATGCTTTCTATGAAGATTTTTATAGTTTCAAGTTTAACAATGAAGTCTTTAGTCTATTTTGAATTTATTTTGTGTATGACAAGATATAGCAGTCCAAATTCATTTCTTTGCATGTGGATACTCAGTTTCCCCCATATCATTTGTTCAAGAAACTCTTCTTCACTGTGTGATGCTGACAACCTTGTTGAAGATCAGTTGCCTGTGTAACAGTGGATTTACTTCTGTGCTCTCTATCTGTTCCATTGAGGGTGTGTGTTTTTGTGTGTGTGTGTGTGTACCTTTATGGTAGTACCAGAGTGTTTTGATTACCATAGCTTTGTAATATATTTTGGAGTCAAGAAGTGTGATGCCTCCAGATGTGTTCTCCCAAAATTGATTTGGCTATTTGAGGTCTATTTTGGTTCCATTTGAATTTAAAATTTTTTCAAATTTCTGTAAAATATGTCATTTAAACATAGATTGAGGTTACATTGAACCTGTAGATTGCTTTGGGACACATTAACAATATTATTTCTTCAAATCCATGAATGTGGGATTTCTTTACATTTATTTGTGTTTTCTTCAATTTCTTTCATCAGTGTTTTAATTTTTAGTGTATAAGTCTTTCTCTGCCTTAGTTAAATTTATTCCTGAATATTTATGTACTAACATCAAAGTATCCACATATGAAAATAAGAGAATAGTACCATTTATAATAACATTTAAAAGATTAAATTACTTAGGAATAAACCCAATGCCTGGCATGGTGGCACATGCCTTTAATTTTAGCACTCAGTAGGCTGAAGCAGGAGGATTGCTGCATGTTTGAGACCAGTCTGGCTCCATAGTAAACTCAAGGGTGGCCTAAACTATATGTCTAGACCCTTTCTCAAAAAAAAAAAAAAAAAAAAAGGTCAGTAGGTTAGGATTTTTCTGTTATATATACACATTAAAGTGAGAAATTACAGTGGGTGTCTTGATGACTTGGCCCAAATTTCTTTCAACTAAATTATCAATTTTAGCCAAAACTGTCTTTCTCCTGAGTGAAATGAATAATAAATTTAAAATTAATCTAGATGATTTATGAATTTATTTAATTATTCTCTTTAGTTCTCAGTTTTACAAATAATAAACTAAGACCTACATATTTTAATTTTTCTTTATTTTTTCAAAAGGACATGCATATCAAGGAAAGAAGGTATTTAGATTGGTTTATTGCTGGAAGCCAAACCAGGCCATCAATTGTAAAACATTAGCCTTTTCTAAATGTGTTTTAATTTTATTTTGCTAAGAAAATTCCTTCTCATCTTCTTGTTCCCTTTTGTCTTCCTTCTGTAGGTCAGCTAACCATGATCGTGGGTCAGGTAGGATGTGGGAAATCCTCCCTTCTCCTTGCCATCCTTGGTGAGATGCAGACACTGGAAGGAAAAGTTCACTGGAGCAAGTATGTGTCTTTTTAATTGGTTTCTGTTCTCTGTCATACACTGATAATCTTCTAAGGAAGGGACTTAGAACAGTAGATTCATATGTTGAGTCTGAGGACCCTTCAAAAAATGAGCACAGATTTAAAAAAAAATTAGTGGCAATCATAAAACAATTTATTATAGAGATTTATAATAGTATAAACTAGTATGTTGCTGAGATAAAAGTAAGGTTTGGATTAGAAAAACAAATTTTTAAAAATAAATGAATAATACTCAAGAATAACTTAATAATTTAATCTATAATGGAAGAAGTTATGGAAAACTTGCCTTATTTATAAAGCTTAAATACAAACAGCATTACTGATCAAAGTTTGGAGAAGAAATAGAAAATGACCTTTTCCAAAATCTTCCTTAAAAAAGGAAAATAACTGATTTCTTTTTACACTTAATGTAAACTAGACACTAGAAGTATCTAGCTAGAGATGATTAGGCTAGACTAGAGTGTTGTACAACTCTAAAAATGTGGAAAAGGAGGTATCTAGTGTGGTATTTTTTCTAAATATTGGAATGATGTTTTTAAAATACCTTGTGGTAATAAGTAAGTTAGGAAAATAATTACATAACATTAAGTAATAAAGAGTAAACCCTATTTAATTTGGTCTACTTAGTAGATTTCCAGTAAGCAGTTTATGAATAAAGTAGCTGTAGTTTCTGTAAGAAATTAGACTGTTATCTAGTAGTTTTCAATGTCATGTGCTCTTGGCCCTAGGAAATATTGAGCAAGGTCTGGAGACATTGGTAAATACTTAATGGCTGTTAAACTGGTGAAATGGGCTGCTACTGTTCTTTTTTAAAAAAATTCTTTTATTGGTACATTTTAGGTACACAGCACAATTACATTTCTCATTGGGAACTGTACCTTTACATAATGCATCTTGGTTCTTATTTTTTCCCCATTCCTAGCCCTCCCTTCACCCCCTCCATCCTTCCCTATTTACAA